GGTAAAAGGTAAGGATGTGGCCATGTTGACTGATGCACACTTGTCAAGGGGTGAAAGGTGAGGGGCTGAGATCGCGCCAGGTGTCCATGTGGCAATTATTTTGGCTTTTTTGTGCAAAAATCTTTGAAAAAATGCAATAAATAGTAGAAAAATCCTAAAAAAGCCCCGAAAAATACTCCGGCCTCCGTGTGACGTTATAAAACGAGGGGAACCCATAGATCATCCATTTCGCAATTAAAAATTCAAAAATGATTTACATAACTCACTTTCCTCTTAACCCTAAGTATATATGTTGTTCACTTTAACAAGTATTTCCTACTTCAACAAGCATCTCCCGTTAATGTTCGGAATTGTTTTTTAGAATGCGTAACCACTAATCGGGGAATTCAGCAAGGGAGATGGAGTGTCAATGAGGTCGTAGCAATTTTCGGATCATTTTTCTGATTTTTGTGTATTTAGTTATGAATTTTCTAAGAAAAAGTCATAAAATAATAATTTAGGGTAAAAGGTAAGGATGTGGCCATGTTGACTGACGCACACCTGTCAAGGGGTGAAAGGTGAGGGGCTGAGATCGCGCCAGGTGTCCATTTGGCAATTATTTTGGCTTTTTTAGTGCAAAAATCTTTGAAAAAATGCAATACATAGTAGAAAAATCCTAAAAATGCCCCGAAAAATACTCCGGCCTCCGTGTGACGTTATAAAACGAGGGGAACCCATAGATCATCCATTTCGCAATTAAAAATTCAAAAATGATTTACATAACTCACTTTCCTCTTAACCCTAAGTATATATGTTGTTCACTTTAACAAGTATATTTCCTACTTCAACAAGCATCTCCCGTTAATGTTCGGAATTGTTTTTTAGAATGCGTAACCACTAATCGGGGAATTCAGCAAGGGAGATGGAGTGTCAATGAGGTCGTAGCAATTTTCGGATCATTTTTCTGATTTTTGTGTATTTAGTTATGAATTTTCTAAGAAAAAGTCATAAAATAATAATTTAGGGTAAAAGGTAAGGATGTGGCCATGTTGACTGACGCACACCTGTCAAGGGGTGAAAGGTGAGGGGCTGAGATCGCGCCAGGTGTCCATTTGGCAATTATTTTGGCTTTTTTAGTGCAAAAATCTTTGAAAAAATGCAATACATAGTAGAAAAATCCTAAAAATGCCCCGAAAAATACTCCGGCCTCCGTGTGACGTTATAAAACGAGGGGAACCCATAGATCATCCATTTCGCAATTAAAAATTCAAAAATGATTTACATAACTCACTTTCCTCTTAACCCTAAGTATATATGTTGTTCACTTTAACAAGTATATTTCCTTAATATTCGTTATATAATTTGTACTAATACAAGAATTAGTTTCCTTTCATATATAAGGATGTAAAATTATCTGTTTTGGTTATAATAATGTACATATATAATAAATGCACCACTACTTGGAAGCCATAATTGGAACTGCGCATGCGCCTAGAGCTTTGAAGACGTCAGATATAGTCAATAAGTTGTCCATATGCACCTGCACCTAGAGTTTTCAACACGTCGGCGGTATTCAATAAGTTGTCCTTATGACGCCGCATTGGGAATCAGTAATATATTTTCTATCATGTCCAATCGCATAAACATATAATATAAAGAAATAAAGCAATAGTAGGAGATGAACCAGTACAAAAAACAATATATAACTGGTACAAAATAATGCCATAACCTTGTCACAAAACCAGTCACACATGCTTTTCCATAAACCTTACCCTAACATATAATACATAAAGGCAACATTGCATATGATGCAACCATGTCCAAATCTGATACGTGATCACAAAAAAATGGACATGGCAGCAACATATGACTGAAGTAGATGGGCACTTTGCATCGTGTTATCGTAATTAAAGACATGAAAATATGAAGGTTGAAATCTTCTATAGTAGTAAGCATCAAAATAGGTTTGAAGCAGAGCTTAACGAAAATTCCAGTTCCTCTGATTTGCCTCTACTCAAACACGATAACCAAAATGGTCACTTCCCTTGCTGAGTATATTTGTTAACGTCGGAAACGGTAATAGATGACCAATCAAACCCGGGTACGACGAGTTTTGCATAGGACCGGAAGTAGTCGAATCCAGCTTGCATCACACGCTTCTTTGACTCCTTTGCATTAGATGAGTTCTTGTATTTTTGAACAGCTACACTCCGAAGTCGTTTGTGTCTACGCTTCATGCGCTGCAACTTCGCCCTATCCAGATTGGCCTGCCTTTTGTCATCTTCAATTTGGCCTTCAACAAATTCCAAACGTACCCTTGCCCTTTGGATTTCATCACCAAGTTGAAGATGCCTCTCCTTCCAGAAAGCAAGAACTCTTTCAGACTCAAAACTTCCAACAAAATGGTCATTCTGTCTAGGAAAGTGACATTGCTTGTCTGGTGACTCACTTGCGTTTCGAAGGCGGTCTTTGTTTGGAGGGGTGTTTATTACGCTCACATCAAACTTGGTTAGTAAATCCATTAAATGGGGGGAGAGAGTTTCTGTGGAGGAGAGAGTTTCAGTAGATGGAGACACATTCGGTGGAGGAGTGAGTTTTTTGTGGAGGGAGAATTTTTATGAAGGGGTGATAGTAATACCAATAAAAAAGGGTTCCCGCCAAAAAAAAACATTTGGTTGACAATGTATAAATGAAAAAAGGTCTCATACAAGCTAAGTTTAATCCTAACTAGTTTGTTTAGTTTGGTTGGGTTCACTAACTAGATGTCACTTCCATTGAGTTTCTTTCAACCACTAACAGTGGTGTAAGGAGAGTGTGAGGTTGACATGCTTGAAAAGCAAAACCTGACACCTGTTTTTTTAAAATTGAAATAAAGTAGATATGTTGACTACACGCAAGCTTTGGTCTGTTGGTCTATAAAGCTATGTTCCATTTCTCAAACGAAATTGCATCTGCAATCCTCATCCTCCAAAACAAATAGGATTATTCAAGTATGTCAACCTCTTCAGGCGCCAACAACACAATCGAAGATGAAAAATTGGAGTCGCAGGTTCCGTTTCCACGTTGTACTCGCCGACCCCTTCCATTTTCAACATCATTTGGGAGTGAGGGGGACTCCGATGATCCATTAGAGGCAATAGATGCTGTCAGTACCAAGCTGGATTATAATTCCAGACTGATCAATTCATGGCACGAGAAATGTGTTGAAGACGAGGCCATTTTGGCTGATCTTAACATTAGAGTGAACAAAGCGTTCTCCCAAAAGAACAAGTACTTGAAGCTGAGTCATAAAAGGAAGCTGAAAGCTGAGGAGTTGGATGCAGTAATGAATGATGAAATTAAAGGTTGTTTGATGAACCATATGCGATGCGAAGAGCACCACAGTGAACTGGAGTTGGCATTCAACGAAGGATTCGAAAAATTCCGAGCATTCGCGGCAACAACTCATACAAGTTATAATTGGGACTATGTGTCCCCTGATGCTGTGAGAGAGATACTAGACGATGGTGGTGACATGAATGAGCATAAGCACGTCAAAGCTGCTCGGAAGAAGCCGACCGATACGGCTAAGTGATTGCGGCTACAGCTGTTCTGTTGGTTGGGGGTGATCGTGGTATTGCACAAATTAGAACTATGTTCCCTTAATGTCATTATCTAATATAAAATAATACAAATATCAGTTTCATTTGCTTCATATATAATTATTGGGACTATGTCTTGCAAGTCATCATGTGTTCCTTCTGTCTAACATTATATTTTGCAACTATGGAAATATTATTCAATAAGCAGTCAATATCACAGCACCCTGGTAATCAGTAAAGCCCCATTATCATGACACGTGAGTCATAAGTAAAATGCCATGTGCTATACATTGTGTAGTGAATGGGTTTATGGTTTATGTATATATAATAAAATTCCAAATATTGCTGAATATTTATTTTGTCTAAATCACTGGGGACATGAGTGACCATAAGCACGCGAGACCTGCTAAGAAGAAGCTGACCAATACGACCTAGTGATTGTGGCTACCGTTGTTCAGTTTATTGGGGAGATCGTGCTATTGCTAAGAGGGAGCACATAAAATGCTTTGCAATCAAATTTTCTTTGTGTGTGGAATTATGAGTAGTTCAAATGTTAGTGTACCCTTTAATATTACCCAACCATTCGAAATGTGATTAGCTGCAATGTACTTTTTTACACGTTGCTTTCTAATCTTTCTGTTCCAACAAAGTGCTTCAAGTATCCTTCAGCTACGAATGTTTGCAAAATCGTGCACCTAATAACCAGTCCAGCTCAGATCTTAATCACCAGTAAAACACTAGAACATAACATTCGCAAAAAGTGGGTGCTGCTACAAATGATGCGTGCTGCTGGAAATCATTACTGGTAATGGAAACAATAGCTGGCTGCTGGAAATGCTGCATTAGCCTGTCATATAATCAATAAATCTCTATTCAAACATAATTCACCATAAACTACCCATTTTACAAGGTAAAAGTCATTGCTTGTTCACATAAATCAAAATTTGATGCTTTATCTAATGTCCATGAAAATTTCTAAATAGGGAGAAGACGTAAAATTAACATGTGTCCAAATTTCATGCAAGAATGAAACCAAGCAAATTTTCATTTCAATTATCAATGGACATAGTCAGAGCTCATCGGTGGACATGAACAAAAAATTAATAATAATAAAACTGCATCTACAAACTTCACCTGATCATTAGTCTTCATAATAACCGGGCTTCGTATAATAGAAACCTAAATCATTGAGTTGGTCCGTGCATCCTGTAAAATTCGTCAAATAATGGGTCACTAAGATCTATTGGAGTTGATTCGTCATTGTTCGACGGTGATGTCCTGCATAAACATCAAACAGAAGCACATAAGAACTTTACCTATTCAAATTTTAGGTCTTATTATAAATAGTGTTAACATCTTACGGTGTGTTCAAATTTCTTGGGCATTGTCTTCTATCATGACCAATGTGTCCACACTCCCGACAGTGTCTAATCCCTCGCTTCATTGCCTTTCCTTTGCTCCCGTTACTCGTTTCGACCCTCCATTGCACCTTACTCTCTTAGGGTCTTTCATATATTGTGTTTGAGAGCTGGACCCTCCAACTTCGTTATTACTTGGTCCATCCTTCAACAACTTCAACTTCACCTGCAAACTTTTTAGAGTCTCTGACAGTAGCTCACATCCTTCTTCACACATTAATGCATCCTCAACCACATCTGAAGCAAGTCGGGACATTGTACTCCGCTTTATTAAAAGACCAGGATCTGCAGAGTCTTTAATTTCGTTGCCATTTGCATCTGACACCAATCCAAATTTCGCAGTTTTCTTCCACCTCTTCAAAATGTATTTATCGGGCATATTCAATCTGGTCCCTTCTGAACAATGCTAGGATGTGCTTGCAAATAATTCCAACAAATTCAAATCTTTTGCAGCTACACGATGCGTGGTCAGAATCTTTGACATATACGACTTCTGCCACTCTTGTTTCCCAATTTTTCCTTTCGCTCACATTAAAGACAACTTTAGAAGCATCCTCTGTTTTCAGCTCTAGGAAACATGCTGTACTTTGTATTAGTTCTTGCTCAAACTTTTGAAACATTGTCCTTGTGTACAAGGTAGCCATTTGTTTGTTCATTGGCATCGGTAGAATACATTGAGCCACTTCAAATGCATCTACGTGATCAGCAACTAACTCTTTTTGACGTTGATGAGAAAGTGCCCTCTCAAATCTTATTATGAAATCCATCAACGAATTTTTCCTTGATATGTATTGCTTGAAGAAACCATGAGAACATTCAGCTCTTTGGCTGCTTGACATTCCAGCGGCAAAAAAGTGTCGTGCGTAGGCTGGAACCCAAGATTCCCTTAAATCAAACATTGAACTTAGCCATGGATGGTCAGTCAAACCAGCCTTTGTAACCACAATATTCCATTTTGCATCAAACTCATCCTTATTGTCAGTATCCCATATGGCTTTCTGGAATTCACCCCAATACTCCTTATAAGCAGAATGTGGTAACTTAACAGAGAACTTTGATGTGATGTGCCATATGCAAAGTCGATGAAATGTAGTCGGGAAGGCTATTGAAATCGCTCTGCTCATTGCCGCATCTTGATCTGTGATGATCGTTTTAGGTTCGCCACCTGGCATGGCTTTCTTAAACTCCTCAAACATCCAAATAAACGACTCAGTCGTTTCCTTGCTCAAAAATGCGCATGCTAGGACAATTGTTTGACCATGGTTATTAACTCCCAACATTGGTGCAAATGTCAAGTTGTATCTATTCGTGTTGAATGTGGTATCGAATACAACAACATCTCCATAAAACCCGTACGCCCGTCTAGAAGTTGCATCTGCCCAAAAACATCGACTAAACCTGTTATCGCCATCTCCCTCAATCTTGAAATAAAAAGCCTCATTTTTTTCTGTTCAGCCATAAAATACTCGGTCACTAGTTCAACATCGTGGTTCCTCAGCTTCTCATTCACACTACATTCAAGATTGTACATATCCTTTTTCATAAAACCGATTTTATCCATTCCTCCGGATTGCACCTCGAAAATACTTACCTTCTGATTAATGGGAATATTAACCGAACCCAACTGTTTTGTAAGTACTTTTGTAGAATCTGAAATACGACGGTGTGATCTCAGTAAATGCATTCTTCCTGAGGGTGTCATCTTATGATTGTGTCCCTCTGCAAAAAGAGAGATGGTATACTTCTTGCTCCCATGTGTCTTCACAACCACAATCTTAGCTTTGCAATTGCATCTACTTATTCCCCGTTGTCTTTTTCTCTCCCGAGTTTCATCATTCCGGTATGCACCTTGTTTGCAACATACAAATTCTTTTCTCAGAATCTCTTTCTTATTTTTCCCCCAAAAGCTGGAATGAAGTCGAATACCAAAGCCAGCCAAGAATGCATATCTATTATAGAAATTATAAACGAGGTCAAGCGAGTCGAACTTCATCCCAACTGCTGGTGTTTCCTCATTTCTTACTTCAGGAATGTAAACCCTCCCATTAGCTGTTACAGAGTCGTCACTCTCTGAGCCCCCAGACATTTTATCCACGTATATTATTGATCTACTTCTATATTACTGCATAGCAAATGTTAATTCATTAATCAATCATTACTGCATCACAACTTAGCAATGCATTCCACTTACACAAAACATTGCCCAAATTGACACAATACACGCATAGCCTAGCTTGTTGGATTCTGATTACACAAAACACAAGCAAAATTTAATACTAGTTACGTCATCTCTTGTGAAATAATCTGGAAAAAATAACATTAGAACCAACATGTTCAACTAAGAACTCAAATGTAATTCAAACCAGCAATTACAGAACTTCACCCAATATCCTCTCCAAATGCTTACTTCTAATGCCATTAAGCCTAAGTTTAGGATCTTTTACCTACATTTCATAATTTTCCAATCCCCCTCCAAACAAAAATAATCAACTAAGTATATTGAATATTCATAAGGAAATGACGCATTATTGATAGCAGAGCAAATGACGCATTATTGATGCCACAAATGACAAATTTCTCACCCTCACAAAAAACAAATCAAACCCAGCAAAATCAATCCAGCAAGAGTGAACTTACCTCTCAAAGTCAAATGACGCATTATTGATAGCAGAGCAAATGACGCATTATTGATGCCACAAATGACAAATTTCTCACCCTCACAAAAAACAAATCAAACCCAACAAAATCAATCCAGCAAGAGTGAACTTACCTCTCAAAGTCAATCGGGAGCTCCGAACTCAGTCAGCTTCAAAGAATGTGGTGGACATTAGAGAGGATTCTTTCGTAGTGGAGACTCCATCTCTACCAAAATCCAGGAACAACTGCAGCAGCACGAAAAAGAGATATGCTACTTTGCTTTCATCTGGAATCTCTTCTGCTGAACGAAAAAGAGAAGGGGTTTTCACTTCAATCATAGAATCAAAACAGGGCAATAGCTAGGTAAAAGCCATTAATCATCATACCGAGGATACCATAGATCGCAGGCCTCCCAAGGAGCTGATGACAATGGAGCGATTATAGAGTTTGGGAGCTTTGGATCTTTCTAATTGTGGATTTGCATTACATTAAAAAAAAGAGGATTGTGTTCTTGAGTTTTTCACAGAGAGGGAAAAATCTTCAGCTGAAGTTGGGTCTCCAAACGGGTCAGATTTCAACCCGGTTCTACATGCACCCTCTTTTAAAAACTCACCGTTGGATGAAATCCAACGGCTCTTACATACCCCTCAAAAAAAACCCCTTATAACTTTCCACTCACTATAGAAGCACTCTTCAACAAGGAGATTGCCTGTCAGTCCAGGATGCTGGCCCACGAGAACCTGCAGTGCATCAGTCCAGGATCCTGGTCCACCCTAAACCAAGTGGTCTATTAACCACTGAAGCATAGCATCGGGTCTTTTCAAAGAGGCCCATTGATACAAATGTATGTTTTTTGACTGGTAGATAGAATTTTAGTGTGAGGATTGTGAGCAAGCCATTGCAGTTTTCTATTTTCTCTGGTTTCTTTCTTTTATGTATCTTTGTATTTGTGCTTTAAATTTCGATCCTTTTGTTTAAACGGGCACTTGTAGCAGTGGTGAATGTGACCTATGTTTGGTTGTCAGCTTGTAACTTATGAACCAATGCCTTCTACTTGTTTGATGACCAAAGCGAATCAACGTCTGTTCTTGTTTGGACCTTCATCTTCAACAGCTTGAGGTACTTTGCCAGTATTTCTGTTGATAGTGTAAAGTGTTTAAATCTTGAATACATTAAAACCTTTTTGTATCAGACCATCAGTTTTATATTGTGTGCTAATGATATGGACAGGCACAGTAAAAGATGCATTGTGCCCTTCAAAGAACTAACAGTGATATCCAGAAAAATTCAGACACTCGAAGATATTCCTTATCAAAGAAAGAGCAAAAGAGTTTCAGAACATCTTTAGATGTAATATATAGGCTTGTTGGCTATGCGTAATGCATATGTACATCTAATACATAATAACATGTATGCATATATGCCCATGTATACATGGTCCCCATCTTTTTGCTGTCATTACTGAGATTTTGCATTAGCACTTCCTTCCAGATAGGATTTTGTTTAATCTGCGTAATGAGATTTTGCATGCATGATGAGAGTACTACTGTACTAGTTAGTAGAGTATGGGCCAGTGTTTTGGTATGGCAAGTAGAATCATCTGATCTATTATTGTTCATTGACAAGCTGAGTTGATTGATGGGAGCCTCAGGGAAATGACTGCCTATTCATCACTTATTTTAACTTCTCAGGTGTCCTATCCTATCCTTTCAGTGCTTTTCCGTGAACCTGACGGACATTGGAGAACTGTGGCACTGCCGCCGCTATGTCCTGACAATATAAATAACTTGTATCTGGTACTCTGGTCAATATGTACACTCTGCATCTGGTTTACCCACCACCAATTAATCCATTCAAGGTTAATCGACAAATGGTGCAGAAAGGGCCTCCTCTTGATTTTACTTATTATGTCAAGTCATTTATAGGTAGGGGGAGTGCTAGCAACCTTCTCTCTAACTTTCTTTTTTGGACATTCTCGCATCTCATAACAAGTGTCAATTTCCTTACACTTAAAACAATGTCATTAATGTGTCATACAAACTAGTTTTTGTTTTCCAAGTTTACCCTTATTAAATGTATTAATGTTTTTTAATTACAACTTTCTTACCACCTTGTTAAAAAAATTAAATAAGAATATAAAAATTTTTTTTTTTTTTTTTTTGTTTGTTGTTTTTAAAGAAAATAACAACATCTTGAAACAAAAAAAAATTTTATAAGAAAAAAAAATTACGTTTTTTTTAAATAAATTTTTTATTATTATTTAATTTTTAATAATGTGATAAAGAAGTTGTAACAAAATTTGAATAAATTAAAGGAAATATAAAAGCCAATACATTTTAAAAGGGTAAACTTGGAAAACAAAAACTAACTTGTGTTATGCATTAATGACATTGTTTTAAGTGTAAGGAAAATGACACTTGTTATGAGGAGAAGGGAGAAGGTCCAAAAGAGAAGGTTAGAGAGAAGGTTGCTAGCATTCCTCTTACAAGTAGAAGGTACGCTGGTTCAGCTATGCGCCACCAATCTCGAAATAAGACTTTGGCAAATAAAGCTACTAAATGGAATGAACTTTCCAGGAAATCTTTCCATAATGGCTGCAGTGATTCCACAAGTACCATCCCAAATGGTCCCAACTCTATTAATTCCTCAACTATGAGCATTGGTAATAAAAAAATAAACAGCATTGCAAAAAGAAGTTTCAGAAAGAAGAGTAGAAAGAGGGAAAACAGAGCACGAAGGTGTCTAATGAACCGCAAGTGTTGTCTGAGGAATATGCCAATGGAAGTTCAGCTTCTGAACCCTATGGTAACAATGATGGGGACGGACAAGTGTCTTCTTCAACTGCACCAGAAATTTCATTGCCAGATAGCGGCCCCAAGAATTCTGAAACACCAAACACATGCACCTCTTCCAGTGATGAGGTTGGTATTCCTTCTGTTGGCAATTATGAAAATCAGTTTCTACTTAAAGACTCTGGATTTCCCATCTTTGATGAGGTGGAGGGTATTCATACACAGGTGAGCTGTTACAGTGATGTATACCAAAGGTTACTCTGATATGCATGACTCCTTCGTTTTGGATTCAATTTCAATTGGTTCAAACAGTGGTGATAGTACTAATGCTGGTCATGATGAAAAACACTGAGAAGGAAATTTTTAAGATAGATATTTCTAAACCTCCAGGTTTGAGTTCCAGGACGGGACGTTTTTCTCGTCAAAGATTTTTAAATGATGTTGTAGGCAATTATGATCACGCTGAGGAAGCAAGGCATGGTATTCAGGGTTGTCGCAGTAATGACACGCAATTGGTTGTGCCTAACAAGAGAAGTAAACAACAAAGTAGCACGGGAACTGCAAATGTCTCTAAATTTGGAAGTAATGGAAATCTGCATATTCACTACAAACAAAACAAATTAATTTTGTCCATCAATTGATGATTCTGACTATAAGGATGACAATTCAACTTCCTGATTGTCAGGACGGTATACCACAAAGGCGCCATCGCTTGAGAAGGAACCAGGATTAAAACAAGTGATTCCTGTGTATTTGAAAGCCTTTTGCTCGCTTCTGTCACCTAAAACTATCTGCACATGAAAATCAAAGGTCTGTCAAGACTTACTAATGACTTAATGATTTATGACGGTCCAAGCGTCTTCTAAAGTTTCAGTTTTAGTAGATAGGAATTGCTTTGTAAAACACCACTCCTTATTATGGAGGAACTCCACGGGAGAAGGGAGGTGAAATGGACAAGAAATGGATATCAGTATTACCGTATGTGGAGTTGGATAGAGGTACAGGGAGTGATCATAATTCCAGATAATCGGTTGTACAATAAGAGGGAGAGGGCAGAGATGACATTGATGGGTTATGGTAGCAACCAGCTGTGACAAAAAATGAGAACCTGTTAGTTTTCTTAGTAATTATGCACCAGTTAACAAGATATTAAGAATATATGTACATGTATATATTATAGAGAGAGAGAGAGAGAGAGAGAGAGAGAGAGAGAGAGAGATCACATGCTCAAAGTCATCAGTAGTTTCTTCTGTAGAAGGGGGCATCAGACATGAACGGCGCATTCTGTACAGCAGATCCTGACGGAAGAATACCACCTCCTGGCTACAGAACTTCATTCTGCATCCAAGTATGGCAAGTCATTGATCAGAAAGCCAACTGAAACTACAAGCACAGAAGACACACTTTGTACTCATGAATCCCAATGTGCCAGGTGAGAAGTAAGCTCTTTTGTCTTAGAATTCATAAAATGTGAATCTAAATACACCAGAGTGTGCAGTTATCTGCAATAAAATACTTATCTCATCATTTATACGTCAACTCATCAGTAATCAGAAAAACATACCTACAAGGATTACTTGAAAATATGGCATTTGGAATGTGATTTTGAAGCTCTTCTCTTAAATATTTTGGTAAAGAAGGCCTTGGTAGAACAGTTGAAGGGCCTGAAATTGTCAAAAAGCAGAGAGTACTAAAGCAAGTGTGATATACCCGGACTATAGGCCCATTTTTGAAGAAACATATTCTTTCTTTGGAGAAGCATGTTAAAGCAGGTGTGATATACCTGCATCATCGGGACCTGGGATAAATAGAAAACAACTACCCTCTTTTAGCCGTGGATGGGCAGCAATCATTTGCCCTAGCTTGCCAAACTGCGACCTGCACATCCAGTTTGTTCACTATTACTGTTACTTGTTAAAGAAAGAAAAGACTGTTTTCAGTCAACAAAATAAATCTTAGCAAAATATTCCTCACCTGAGATTGGAGAAGGAGTGAAAACCAAGATTACATGGATGAGAACAAAAATTCCCCATGAGTACAAATAAGCACGGTACAAAGTCCTCATTCTCAAAAGCATCTAGGACTCTCTCCAGCTTTCCCATAGCCTTCTCAAATAAGAAAAGAACTATCAATTAATGTCAAGTACAGTACTCTGAGAAACAAAAGAAGTTATAACCATCTTTACAAGAGAAAGAAGAATAACCTCTTCATTGTCTAGCCAAATGTCAGACAGTATGACAACATTCCCATTAACTGCTTCTCTTTCCAACTTTGCAAGTCTGAGCTGTTTGAAGTGTATAGGAAACTATATATTCATAATAATTGGCTAGTCTATAAAGTTGAACAATTACACAATTTTGAATATCACCAAAAAGCAAGTTTAGGATACCGTCTCCTGTTCTGTTAGTGTACCACTACCAAAAGAGTCATGTCCTGCAAGAAATTGGAGTGACTTATCTCTGCCCTCAAGCGGAGGAAATCCGCAATTAAACACCTTCACAAAAAGTAAGTGTTAGCATCTCTTTAAAGATTAACTTCATAAGTTAAATGTTTGCATCTCATACATATACATTGATCCAAAGTTAGGAACCTGATGCCTGATACAATCTCATGGCAAGTAACTTCACTTGATTTACTTTTTCTATATACTGATCTGCTCTGGATTAGCTAAAGGGATTAACATATTATGAATTTATGATATATTGATCCAACCTCATATTAGGAGTAGTAAAAGGATGTGCAATTTCTTTTTAAGAGTAAAGAGAATAAAAGAACGTTAGCTAACCTGAAAGACACCCTCTAAGAGCATCTCGCCTTCTGCAACAACTATTGTGTTCTCTACAAAAAATCCTGCAGTTATCTTGTATATATTGTCAAGGAAAATGATGATTTCATGCTTTTGATTTGACTGAACCTCAACTCTAGCTTTTATGAGTTCAGGCATAGCCATAACCTACTACACCCATGAGCCATTATCATAAAGACAAGGAATCAATGCATTTCATCAAATGACAAGACACCAGTTAGTCACTCTGTATTAGATGCAAACAGAACAACCCAAAGGTCAAGTGTCAAGTGTGAAGTTATAAATGATGAGAGTGCGTAAAGGATATTGCATTGGATAAGTTGATTTCGACAGAAGCAGAAAGGTCTTCCAAGTAAAAATGGCCATCCTCCAACTGAGATATCAGACCCATCACCCATCTCCTTCCAGTTTGCCCAATCAGAGACTGAATTGGAGATATCTGACCACCATACCATACAGGAATTTATTTAATTGAACTTTGGCATTTAGGAAAGAAACCCAATTAGATTTTGTCGAACAAAGACAATGTGAGTACCAACCTCACAGCGTCCGAAATCTGACAATTCAGAATCAAAGGCTGGTTTGGAAAAATCCTTATGGCGAGAGAGCATCTGGGAGAGCAAGAGAAACCTATCCTTATACAGAGCTGCTTTCGAAAATGCGTCACCATGCATGGGTAGGCTCCCAGTATGCCTAAAAATTTCCTCCCAAAAAAAAATCATTTTCAATAAATTTATACTACTCACTATAAAGATTAAGAATTGTTTGGCAAAAATTGAAACATACTTGTAAAAAACCTTCTTGATGGGGTCATATCGGAACTTTGGGACCTTGAAGGCATCAACTATGAGCAAATCAGAGGCTCTTATAACATCATCACCATCGCCGTCGGGGGTTTCGTTGATGGCCGCATCAGCACCCAATATACGGGTAGCAATGCGGTGCACCGTCTCCTTGTCTTTTACTGCCACCCCAAGAAAAAGAAGAAAAAGAAACAAGCTTCACTTAAGGAAAAAAGAAGAAGATGAAAATGATTGACTTGCGAACAAATAATAAGACACGAAAGAAATGGGGGGAATTACTGGGCTGGGTCACGAGGAGGTCGAGGAGGATATCGACGGGATCGTCCAAAGCAGAGTCGTTGTTGAATTCGGATTCAAAGGAGAGGATCTCGTCGACGGCATCCAATTCAAGCGTGTAGCCTCTGATCTTGCACTTCTTCTGCACCTTCTTCCTCGTGGAGCTGCTCATCTCTCTCTCTGTGTTCCGTTTGCTAAAACCTAGGCATTTCGCCGTTGCTTTTGTTAAAATCTGGGTAACATGGACAACAAACCACACATACCCTCCCTCCTCCTGCCCAAAGAAAAATTAAGAAGAAATAAAAAAGATAGAAACTTTGACTATAAAATTGAGCATTTGTACTATTCGGGAGTTAAATAAACAAAATGCCATTCATAAGTCTTCTTTTTTTCTTTCATCAAATTTCTTAGCAGCCAAACAGTTCATAGCCATAATTTAGATAAAGGCAGCATCATATCTGCGTACTTGTGATGACAAAGAAAAAGGGGGTTAAGAGTACCAAACAGAGGAGAGTCTTTGGGGAGAGAAACGGAAACGAAATCATTGGTCTCGCAAAACTTATCTACATCACTTTCTAATGACTCGTCCTCAATACCACTCCTCCCATCACAGTCAAAATTTTGATCCACTGTAACAGTCTCCGAACAAAAATGACGCACAGAGACCCTAAACGCAGCGAGCGCATTCAGGGGCTGCGATAATTTGACCAAATTCAAACAAGGGGTCCCTAGAAATGGCACCAGGTGATAAGACGAAGATGCAGAGAGCATATAAGTTCGAACATGAGATATGGGTTCAATCGGGGATCTCACATATCCAAAGATTTTAGCATTAGGGCAGCAGAGGGATAAGGAATGATTCTTGAAAGGGAATAAATTGATGAAATATAGGCCTCGCGTCGAAGCAATTGAAGTTTTGAGATACTGGTTCAGCATTTTGTTCAACGGTAGAAATGGTTTTCTAATATAAAATAACTATTTGAGAAAATGAAAGGGAGAGGACAAGGATTACCAGGCACGATGACAACTCTGCGACTTGTTCCCCTTACACGCTGGATGAGGCTCCGGGTACTGAGTAAATTGGAAAATGATAAACCCAAATACCCAATACCAATTTTTGAGAGAGAGGGAGAGGAGGGGGAAAAATTTGCAGAGAGAGAGAGTGACTCTCAGTCGAGAAAAGAGGAAACGAAAATGAAGAAGAGACTGAGAGAGAGAGTGAACGCTCTAAGTGGGGCCTGGGCATTTTTGGATGGGAGCCAACATTAACAAATGTATTTTTAAGCCCATAAGACAAGGACCAAGTGAAGGCGTTTCATCAACAGGTCGGAGCAGGCCCGGCTTTCTTCCATGTACCCATTCCACAGTATGCAGTTTAAAATGCTGCTGATGTCAACTTGCATTCTACTTGGTTTGGTGGTATGTCGGACATTGCATAGTTTAAATTTTTATGCTTTATGATATGAGTATCAAAATGGTGACGACGGCCATAATTCATTGTGGTATTTTTTTTTGTTCAGTCGTCTTTCTGGGGGAAAAAAATAGGTAGTGGCGTGATTACCTCATGGCTTGTCTTATTCCTTTTGATGCTTGTCGTGTATTCTGGTGGGTCACGCAGGCACAAGAGGAGAAAATGACGTGTTATGTTAGAGTGAACTGAAGTAATTAGGGACAATCCGTGTGGAAACACCAGTTCTTTGTCTTTTTTGATAAATGGGTAGTCTAAACTGCTCTAACCTACGGACATAGGGTTCGAACTTGAGTGTAAGGGTGCAGAGAGTGCCTTGGCATGATGGCTTGAACTCACATCTGCGTGGAAACAGTCTCTGTCATTACAAGCTATTTGGATAACCGGATAGAATCTTCTGTATGAAGTTTAGATTAGGTCGTACTTGTGATTAGAGTTATGGGAGATTCACTAATATACCCAATATAGAAGCCCAAATTATAAAAAAACCCTATATGAAATGGAATTTATAAACACACCCAAAGCTCATTTATAACATAACAAAAGGCTTTTAACTTATTTTAAATTACAAAATTGTCATTGATTTCTTAAAACAAACCCAACCCAAAATTTCATAAAAAAGCCCAAAACACTCAATAGGGTATCAAAGTAATTTAATAATTAAAATTAATTTTAATAGTACCATTTGTCATTTTTTGGGTTTTTTTTGGGTATGTTTATAAAAATGAAATGATGTAGAGTTTATTTATAATTTTAGTGCTAAAAATGGGTATATTACTAAATATCTCTAGAGTTATTTCATAAAAGCGAAGGAGATCTGAGTTCAGGACATATTCCAATATTGGGAAGATAAATTTCATAAGATCAAGAAAGGATTGAATTGAATTTTACCCAAAACTGGAGAGGTACAAGTCGTAATGAACTCAAAAAATAAGCACTAATTGGCTTGATAACCTAGTTACACAGTTACATGTATTAATGAATGTACCATCTAATTGAATGAGCTAACTTTGCAAACCAACTAATTCCGAATTGAATATTGCTATCTGAAATATGCTCCTAGATTTTTAACATTCCTCTCCTCTGCAGAACATCCTTGTCCTCAGGAATAAAATTAAAAAAACTGTGCTACAATAACTTCCTTAATTCTCTTGCTAGAAAGAGAGCTTGGTTTCTTCCCATAGTATCTCATTCTTTGAAAAGAGATGGGCAAAGAACGAGCAACTCGACGATTCAACATTTCTTGAACAAGAAAATAAGTATAGGAGACCATGATCGGTCTACTGTCTGAAACTCATAGCAGATCCATTTCTCGACTGATAATTTGGAGATGAAGTCTCGGATAGTCTTCAGTTCTTCCCTGAACAGTAAAAAGAGATGATAAATCTAAAGCATAAGCGTGGAAGCTCTAACAACTCAAATGAAGCAACATGAACTATGGAATAGAGTATGTACATGGAATTTGCAAATAAATAAAAGAATCACAAGGAAGCAATCTTTGCACAAAACAATTCACACCCTCACATCAATTTAAACCCATGCACACCATTTGCATAGTTTGATCATCAGCCAACTATATATACATATATTCGTTCAAGAACAATCAAATCAATCCCAACTTACAAGATAATACAAGTGTACAAGAGGAATGCAAATAGTGTGTTTTAGACTCTCCACTTCACTGTCTGCAAGCACATCTAACGAATGAAAGCGTATTTTAAGTAACGAAACCTTTTCAACTTCCAGTACCTCAAAAACTCAGACACCTTACTCAATTTTAGGTCAACAGATTTTTGAATTATAGTCAGTAACAACCCCATCATTTCCAATCCAAAAATAAATATTATAGTTTGATCAGGGATCCATCCAAATCCATACCAACACTCTAAATTATTTTACCAACCATGCAAATTTTATAGAATCACTATGCATTCATCTCTACCACCTATGCATACTTTTCCTATAACCAAATTATCCTCTCTGTTCCTGGACCATCCCTGAAAGTTACAAAAATTGTGATTTCTGACCTTATATAGCTTTCCATAAAAAAGAAATTAATTTCTCTGCACATTTTTATGCTCCAAAACCCATCACAACCTGTTGACGGTAGATATTGTATTCCCACTTCCTGATAACTGAGACATGGTAGTACTGGACCTCCTTACCTCACGTTAGGTCTACAAGAGAAACATAATCAAGGAGTTATATTGGACTATTCAGGCTGCCAAGTGCTTAAGTTAATCAATTCAACAACCATGCAGATTAGACATGTGTGCCCACAGTTAGATCAAGCAAGTCAGGAGCATATGACAAAACTAAACTTATACGTATCAAGTCTAAAAGAACAAATAATGTACAATAAGTTGGACCCTTTTTGCCAAAACAAAGCATATTGGATCCATATCAGCAAAGCAATAACAATTGTCTAATTTGGAAATCTCCAACTCAATCACCAATGTCATAAATCAATATTAATAACAATTTCACGAATCAAGCACAATCTTGGATACTGCACTTTCTGTTTCCCTGACTGGAACATGAGCAGAAAGCTTCTATTATGATCTACAGTAGCATTGGTGTCCTAGAATTCAATCCACGTTATTTGTTTTGAGCCTAAAAACAGATTATTCTTCATTCTGAAAATACACAAACTTAACAAGAGTCCGAGACTTCCAATTTACTAGTCACAGAAGACTTCCAATCTCACTCTCCTTCTCCCCTTCCCCCTCTCTCCTCTCAGAGCAAGACCAGAACGTAAAACCCAAACAGCCTATCCCACTCCTCTAGTACCTAAAACTAACCACGTATATCTTAATCCAATTTCATACCAATCTGAAGGGGAAGCATAAATGATGGCTTCATCTACCAGACTTTATAAAATAAAATAAAAGGGGGTTGATTGAAAACACAAGCTTCCAACTGTTGCTTTCATTGCACAAGAAGTTCCTAAGAAGTCATGCTCCCACTAAACACTCAAATTCAAGAGGGCAAAACAATTTTCCCATGCTATAACATACTCATTGTTTTTAGCTACAAAAGAACTATTCCTTTGTTAATAATGACAAGCAAAATATTTCAGGCGTAGTTTGGGAGGAACTGAATTGAGCTTATATTGGCCTGACTATCCAACTTTATCTATTCTAGTATCTTAAACGAAAATTACTCAAGCCATTGTTATAAGTTTTGCTCAACCTGCATAATGAACGTAATAAAAACCAGGGAGCACAAACTAGCATACAGAGTGAATAAAAATAAAATTTGAGAACAGAACTGTTACCATCCACCTGGATGCCCCACATAAACCACTAAACTGATAAGACCTCCAGGCACCACGATACTTTTTGCAGCTTCCAATGCCTTCAGTGTTGTTTCTGACTGTGTGATAATTGTTTTGTCACCCCCAGGAAGATAGCCAAGATTGAAAGCGACAAGCCTAATCACCCACGAAATCAAACCTTTCAGGAAGCAAGTTTTCTACTAAGAAAAATAATGCAGTAACACGTTCAATAATATTTCCACACAATATGAACATGATATTAAGTATAATAAACATTATTCGAATATTCAATTACTTTCCTGGTTAATATACAGAACACATTCCGACTTCAATAAAGAGCCAAAAGTTATTGAAGCAAACAACATGAATACCAATAAGTTTATGATTATACAAATCCAACATAAAACAGAAGTACAAAAAGCATTTGCATTAATCTTGGCCATTAGAAGAAATTTAACAGCCTAGAGTTTCTTTCTTATTTTAGCTCTGCGCACGTTTCTCATAAATCAAATGCCAATTGCATTAAGATTTTAAACACAGAACCATAAGATAGGAACATCAAGAAACTTGTGTTATAGTGAGTACCTAACAGATGTATCTTTTGGAAGAACTTCATCCATTTTACTGTGGCATTTGGAAAAGAGCTTAATAAGTTCTTTCTGCATATAATTGAAACTAAGGAGAATTAGCATACATCCACAACCTTAAAAAGAAAACACATCACGAGATTGATACTATGTTCAGTCCAGTCCAGACATCCAATGCACAGAAGGGTACCTCACTTGGACTGACCGACTCTTCCAGCAAAGAAGAAGTTTTCTGTAAAGCAGCTTCCTGAACATCCAGCCCGTAAACAGAACCCTTACACGATTCATCAGCAACCATCTTGAGCATTGCTAAGGTATCATGACCATTGCCACAAGTGGCATCAATGACTGTATCTCCTTTTTGGACAACACTTTTCCAAACCCTGTTAAGAATAGAAACTAGAAGGTATTAAATGTTTAAACAATATTGTTACGAAAGAAATGTAAATATATGAAATCAATCTATTGGCTGAGAGTGTTGAGAAATGTAAAAATATAATTTCAAGCACTCAAATTTTTCAAAACTTGATGTATGTTAAAACAACTGCTAGGGCAGAACTGCAGATAGACTAATGTCAACCCTAGTCAAGTGCATTTATAAGCATAGCTAATTGAAGCCTATACGAAAAGGCTTTCAACAGCCAAGCTAAGCATAAACAGCATATGTCAAAGAGGATAATGCACACCAAAAAAGCCAGAGATGCTTGATAAAGTTAAAAATCAGAAGTGGGTTAAGGTAGGCTCAAATGTAGATATAGTAAATCCCCCAATCCAAAATGTACACATATTTTGGGAAATTAGTCATTAACTTCTTACAAGTGAGAAACTTCTGTGGCCCTCTTCTTGCCCAAGATAAAGCTCACCAGTAAATCCTCCAATCCTGAATTGTGGTTCAAATTTTAATAAGTGCTTGATTTTAGTTTGGTTTCATTTAAAAGATATTAACAATTCAACTCACATTTTTTCTTTAATTCAAATTCGACTTCACTCCAAGATCAAACACATTTAACTTTATACGATACACAATTCCTCATATAATCATATTCCTTAACCACAACTCACAAACCACTGCTCTGTTTGGTTACTGGGAAAATGAACAATTCAAACCACACATACCCTCCCTCCTCCTGCCCAAAGAAAAATTAATAAGAAATAAAAAAGATAGAAACTTTGACTATAAAATTGAGCATTTGTACTATTCGAACAAAATGCCATTCATAAGTCTTCTTTTTTTTCTTTCATCAAATTTCTTAGCAGCCAAACAGTTCATAGCCATATTTTAGATAAAGGCAGCATCATATCTGCATACTTGTGATGACAAAGAAAAAGGGGGTTAAGAGTACCAAACAGAGGAGAGTCTTTGGGGAGAGAAACGGAAACGAAATCATTGGTCTTGCCAGTGAGAGATGTTGAATTCGCAGGGATCCTCGAAACGTTTTGGTCAAAGTGGTCTCTGGGGCTATTGCCATTCAGCGAAACGTTTCGCGGATAGGGGAAAACGAACCACCGTGTTGAAGTTGATATTAGAGGTTTTTGCACCGCAGGCCAATGCACGCCTAATCTCAGCGGCAGTGCCAACATCTCTTATCTCTTTCGAGCTCTCTTAGGCCATCCCCAATTAAAATGGATTTTCAGCAATACCCCTGAACTATTTCACTAATCTAATCCAACAAATTTATTTATTTTTAGCCAAATTTGTCCGCCAATTATATTAAATGGTCAATGTAGCGCCTACTATTAGGGTTGGGCAAGCCAAATCGATGAAACCGGCCAAATTAAATTGTAATTGCAGGTTTTATTTGATTTTTGAATTTCTATAAACTAATTTAAACCAAACTAAATTTTTTATGTGTATCTATCTATATATATATATATATAAAGCAAAAGGTAGAGAATTGTGTAACATTCAAAATACCAGAAAATGTCATTGGTTAATTCTAATATTAAGAATTGAAATTATTAATTAAATGAGGATAATATGGTAAATTCACATTTTTTTCTTATTTAAAAAATAAAAACAAAGTCAGATAATATGTTATATTTTTATGGAATATAACTACCCATGTTATCTTTTCTTAATTCTAAAAAAAATTAAAAAATTAAAAAAAAACTAATTGGCACATGCTCATGCATGTGCCAAGGGGCTACTATTTATTATTTATATTATATTTTACATGTGTAATACTCTAATTAGGTAATATCTATATATAAATATTTGAATTGAGTTATATTAGTAATTGAAATTTGAAGTTTGAAGTTTTATGGCATGTTGAGCTTTAGGATGGTTTCGTACTCTATAAAATTACTTAAGTATGGAGCAAGTTGTGAATTTGTTAGTTGTAATTGGAATAACAATATTGAAAAAATGCAAAAGGAAATAGAAATGAACTTGGGCTCAAACCGTATTAAATTGGTTTTGTTTGGTTTGATTTTCTTTATGACTTTTGTCAAAATCGAACCGAACCAAAATGTTATATTGTTATTAGTTCAGCTTTAATTTTAAAATGAAACCGATCCAATCCGGACCTTGGCCACCCTTACCTACTGTTAGTTTTTATTTCCATTTCCTCTAAAAAATCATGTGAAAGACATTTGACTTATTATTTGAATTTTTTTTTTTAATGAGCTTATGAGTGACACGCTCAAAGAATTCATTCTACGGAACAAATGTGAGTTAATAAAGGGTGCTTTTAAACGAGCCCTAAAATTAACTGAGTACACCCTTTGACCAAACTATTTATTTAATTACTAATTTATTCTAATATAAAATGACAAAAAAAGATATATTGAATTTTGAAACAAATGTAATTTTAATAAGTACATCATACTCACCATATTCAATCACAATCAAATATAAGCGAAAAAACCTACCTCCAAAAACCTTCGTTTGGGTCAAAGACGGCACCGCCATTAATCTTAACTGAATCCTCGTGCAATGCTTCTCAATTGCTCATCCCACTTCAAAGAGGTGACACTGTCGTCATCCTTTTCTCATCGGGCTCGAACTAGTTGAGCCCATTTTGGGGTGCCAAAGGGCTGGCCTTTTGAGTGTGTCCATTTCCCCACTTGACCCTTCTTTCACTAATCAAGACTTTCACCACCTTATAAGAGCCCTCTCCCAAACAAAGCCTAAAGCTGCCATAGCTCACCCCACTTACATCACAAGCATTAACAACTACATATCTTCCTAATCCTCCACCAAAAAGCTTGTTCATATGTTGCAAAGTCCCCACTGGATTTCCACTGTTGACATCAAAGCTAAAGATAGAAAGTTAGAACTTTCCCAATTGGGTCCTACATTTTTCACCATACAAAAGCTGCATAGCAGAGCAGAGGATTGTTAGAGTTTGTATAGGAAAATACACTTGCATTTAGTCCCACATTGGAAGGGAGTTCTTTCCTTCCATGGTTTATAAGCACTAACACATTAGAAATACTAATAGGGTATGGGCCTAATGGAGGCAAAGTTGGGACTCATCATGATTTGGGCTTGAAATATATAATTGTCACAAGATGGGCCTTGGGCCTTTGGTCTTGGGCTCTATTTATTTAATTAATAATTTCTTTTTATTAATTAGAAATTCGTTCGAATATGTTAAATAGTTAATGTAACTATTGGATGAAGAGGTGTCAAACCTCTATATATTGACAATTCGTCCAAACTAGAACAGACAATTTTTGGAACAGCATTATCATTCTCACACATAAGCACTTCCTGAGAGAAATCATATCACTGTTTGCTATAAATCAAAGCCACAAAGCTTAGGCTTTGATTTGTGATAGTTTAGGAGCTCTCTATAAAATTTGAACTCCAATCCTAATTTCAAGTTTAGAGAGTCATAAATACTATAATTAATTTTAATTTAATAGAATTGGTCCATCTCTATACAAAATAATAATAATAAATAGTTAACATTAATTAAAAAAAATATGCATAAAATAAAGCATCATTAAATTATAGGGAGCCACTAAAGCCGGTTGGGCAAAACTTACATCCTAAACTCGACTGTGTGAGTGAATTTCATTAATAAACATAAAAAGATACACCTAGTCAGGGGGACATAATAAGCCTTACCCTCAAATGCATCTCTATCCATAAATAAAAGTTCAACAACTACAAAAGCTAAAACTAAAACCAAAAGTAAATGCAATGCAATGCAATACAAAACAACACTGTTTAAATCTAAAATTTAACCATGCGAGCACTGGCGGACCCAGAAATTTTTTAGCCGAGGTGCAATATTGACTAAGTATGAAAAATGATTTTTTGGAATAATCATTTTCTCAATATAATTTTTGGCGGCTTTTATTCCTTATATATCAAATAAGAAACCTTCATTTTATGGGATTTTAGTATGAAGTATATATTGACTTAATAAGCCATCATTTTTAGCCTAAATCGTATTTTGCACTAAAACCGAATTTTCATATTTTGATTTGGTGGGAATTTGATTTTCTAGTATTTTTATTTGAATCCAAATGGGGGATAATTCCTTATTTACTACGTCCACCAGTGCATGCGAGGCTTGGAACTCTTAAATTCTTAAATTATTGATGCATTATCGATGTTATTAGCAAACTCTCTTTCAATGTGGAGGATCATACAATCAGCAAGAAATTCATCAAGTATGGTGCTTCGAAGTCGATTCTTAATAATTCTCATACATGAGAAAGCTCATTATGTTGTTGATGTAGAACCCTGTGCGTATTCAACACCTTTCATGTGTCGGGCACAATTGACTAATTTGCCCTTCCAAACAAAATCCAATGAAATTCAAGTGCGACTTCTGCTGAAATTTTGGCAAAGTCTCCCTTGTAAATTGAACATTTCCCAAAAATTTCCACATGTAAAACATGCATATATATACATAACCCAACTGCCAGCATGTATCGAATTATATCCAAAAATCAAGCATCATATTATTCTGGCCTCAGGCCTCAACAAATCAAGTAAATCATTCTGCTAATAAAGTTCATCTCGACTTTCCAAATATCCACTGTACATTAGCAATCTCCAGGACTCCAACTCGTGGCTGCACCTTGTAACCTCAAGCTCCCTACGTACCCTTACTGAGGGATCAAGCCATATGTAGTTCTTATCTGATACTCGTATCAATCATCTATTGAATATAAATCTGTTATATACTGAACTCCCTTTATTTTAGTTTAAGAATATCTCATAATTGAAATTCTCGCCACCTAGGCGTACCCCTAATCCTAATCTGTCAATTCCATTAATATCGTCAATTTCATCCTCGCAGGCCGTAATCCTCGCAAGCATTAGTCGCATTCCTCGCAGGCCTCAAAGACCGCAATCCTTGTAGGTATCAGCCGCATTCCTCGCAGGCCTCAGAGACACCAAGTCAACCTGAGCCGCAATCCTCGCACCACACGGTCCAGGCGTCCCTGAAACTCGTGGGGTATTATCAGAAATAACCAAATTGTTTCAAGGCCACTTGGGGGGGTACTCCTACGATGGTTTGAAACTCATCTTCGAAATGGTCTAGAAGTGCCTCAGGACTCAAAAAGCAATAAAAGTCCCAAAAGTCGACCCGGGACCCCATGGGGTCCACGACCTCAAAATTCCAATCCGAGAGTTCCTAGAGGTCCCAATATGCATAGAACACATGTCCTGAGAGTTTGGTCTTGATCGGACGGTCAGATTAATCACGATCTCACGATCGGACGATTACTATAAACCTAGGTTGGCATTTCCGGAGTATCCGGAACTCCGTTACGATCCGTCAAATCCTATACGATCCTAGAATTATCTAGATTAACATAAATGAGATTGACTATGATCCAACGGTTCAAACTTATCAAACCCAGAAATCGCACAATAGGCGAGATCCGTTCGACACTCAAAAGGTATCCAAAATGGAATCCGAGCACACCTACGCGCTCGTGACAACTAGGAGATCATTTTAGGACAGTAAGTAACTCAACCACTCTGCCCACACGCCGCCACACCCGCCGGCAGCGCGTGCGTATCCAAAGTGATACCACTCACAGGAAAAATCTCAAAATCAAAGGCCAAGCTTCCTACTTTAGGTTCAGAACATCAATTGGAGCCACTTTTGTTCTTGGACATACCCCAAAAAATGGCCGAAAGTGGCCTGAATTTCAACCCAAAATCCGGCCAAACTTTGAATCAAAAAATCAGGTTATCTAAACTAGAAATCGATCACTTCCTACCCAACCATCAGCTAGAGCTGAAAGAATAGATGAAAATCCATACATGGTTCGTCTGAATTGATGGCCGGATGACGAAGAACGAGACCAATAAAGTTAAGTCAAAACCAGCCGTTCTCGAGCGGTTTTCGACGGTCGGAGCTACTGTTGGGGTCTCGGCTGCAGCGGAACAGGTGGCTGGGGTGATGGTGGTCCTAACCTGACTGGTCGTGGCATGTGGTGGTGATGGTGGCTTGAAGAAGCCACGGCTGGAGGAAGAAAAATCACGGGAGGGGCTAGGTCGCGAGGAGAGAGAGAAAGAGAGGTTTTTAATAAATCTATCTTGACAAATTACTATTTTGCCCCTCATTGTAATTTAATCGTATTTCCTTTGTTATAACTCCGATTTGAGCTCACAACGTGTCTACGGACTCGTTTCGTCACGCTTTACGCAACAGTGCAATCAAAATTCTCAAATTCCTTTCCGGTCAAAAAGTCAACTTTAAACCTAATTCCAAGGGTATTCTAGTCCTTTCCTTGAATAAAATAATAATTAAGAATTAATTAAGGATCGGGTTGTTACAATACCACCTTAATTAATTTCAACAAAATCCCAAAATTATAATTCATCCCTAATTAAACTTTAGAATACTCAATTAGAGTAGGAGAGAATGAGAATAATACTTGCTGACAAAAGGATAGGAGAAGATGTTGTTGCCAAGTTGTGCACCCAAGATAATAGAAGATGTAGCTAATAAAGGGAGAATTTGACCCCAAAAAAAGAGAGGGAGAAACTTGCTGCTGTCAGGTAGCAAAGGGAGAGAGAGAGAGAGAGAAACAAGAAGTCTAATAGCCAGAAGAGAATGAGAGAGAATATATGGGACCACCTAGATGAGCAACATATGAGTAGAGTTTGCTTTTAAATTTTTAAATGGGCTTATAACACACAGTCTAAAATATTGATAATATTGACGAAATATCGAGGATATTATCGTTTCTTCGGGTCAAGGATATTTCGGAATGTATTCATACACATATCATATAAATATCGATAATATCGAAAACTATCGATGTCAATAATTTTGCTCACACTTTAGCAATATTTTGTCAAAATATCGCTATAATATTGAAAATATCGATTTAATGGAAAAAGTGAATAAATAAAAAAACAAAGCACACACACAAAAAGGGGATTCAAACCTTTGCCATTTCATTCCTCCAAAGCCTTAACCACTATGTTACTTATGTTTTTGTGACAATATGCTAAAATATGTATATGTATATTGTTTTGTTTTGAACAATTACATGCAAAACTATTTTGAGGGTTTATCATTTGATTACTACTCTTTACAACACATTTACTCTACAAATAGAGATGATGAAGATAGTGAAAAAATTGAATAAGAACTCTGTGTGGTACTAAGTCACTCATGTATCTTACCATGCAATATATAAAGTGTAAAATATTGTCATAAATCATTATATATAAATGATTATAGTGTGTTTAATCTATTTTCATTAATTACTACGTATTTTCTACACTCACAGTGTTTGTCAGCTCACTACATAATCAACTTAAATCAGTTAACCCATCATGCAATGCATTTCCTTCTATTTTTTGTGATAAACTAATAGATAATTGACTGAATAAACATCCTCCAAAGTTTCAATAAAAATTTCTAAGTTTTTCTTACAATTTCCTTGGTTGTTATTTAATTTTTATCGATATCGATAATATCTCGATATTTCTATCGAAATTTTCTTGTTTTTGGGCTACCGATATTTCCGATACCATCGATATTTTAAACCTTGATAGCACATATAGTCTCTTTTTTTTTGGTGGAAAAATTTGGGCCAGGGATAGCATCGCCCTTGGAGCCACTAGGAGTCTTTTCTCTCCTCAGATTTAGGAGCTCCTAGAAGTCTCCTTATTTTAGGAGGTGGATAGGGAGTACAAATGAAGTTTTATTTTTTCAATTCCTCTCTAAAATTTGTCTAAGGAGGTGGTTTAGGGAACCCATTGCGATTGCTCTTAAAACATACGCTACTCTCTAGTTGATGAAAAATGTTTTATTAATAATAGCATAAATGAGGAGAGGAAGAAAAAAGCATGGGAGAGCGATTTGTGTAAAATGACAAGAACCTTAGGGCCCGTTTGATAACCATTTCAGTTTTTAGTCTCTAGTTTTCAGTTTTCATTTTTAAGAAATTAAAAAAAGAAGGAGTAATTGTTTTATTAGTCCCTGAACTTAGACCCCATTTGCATTTGAGGCCCTTAATTTCCAAAATCGTTCACATAGTATTTGAAAGGACCCGACCCAAATTCTACTTTGAAATCCGAGCCGAATCCTGTTTATAGCTGACACCTGGTGGGTGTAGGTCACAAATGACCAAAATGCCTTGAAAAACAGTAACACAAACTCAAAGGCTCTAACTCGTGGCTGCACCTTATAACTGTAGGCTACCTACGTACCCTTACTGAGGGATCAAGCCACACGTAGTTTTTTCCTCTGTTCATAATCTGCAAACTGGCAGGCCTCGGAGACACTGCTTCTATCCGGGCCGTAACATATAACTAACTATCTGCTCATCCCATAACAGGATTTAGATAACTCCTTTCGGTCCGTACTTGTTTACTGTAAACCTAGCTCTAGGGCTAGCGTTTCTAAAATATCTGAAACTCCGTTTTACGATCCGTCAACTATTATACGATTCTGGAATTACTTGAGTCAACATACCTGAACATGACTACGATCCAACGGCTCAAACATGCTGAACCCGGAATTCACGCACTAGGCGAGATCCGTTCGGTGTTCAAACGTTATCCAAATTAAGATCCGCGAAATCCTACGCGCTCATGAGGACTAAGGGATTATTCTAGGACCAATTGTGGTCCCCGCCCTGCTGCCCACGCGCCGCCACACACGCCGGCAACGCGTGGTCCCTAAAGCGATAACGCTTTGCCAAAAAATCTCCAATCACGGCTCAAGACTCCTACCCTAGGTGTAACACCCTAATTGGAGCCACTTTTGTTCTTGGACCTACCCCAAAAACTGGCCGGAAGTGGCCGGAATCTCAACACGAAATTTGGCTAAACTTTGGATCCAAGATCGAGTTATCTATGCTAGAAATTTCTAAAATCCTACCCAACCAGCAGCTAGGGCTCGAGAAATAGATGAGTTTCCATACCTGGATCGCCGAAAATGGTGGCCGGATGATGGAGAATGAGCCGTCAAAAGTTTACAAAAAACTGTCCAACACTGCCTGTTTCTTGGCTGTTTCCAGCGACTACGGCGGGGGATCGGGGCGAAAAAAAACTGGGGTTGTAAGAGGGAAGTGTGGTGGTTCTAACGGGACTGGTCTTGCTTGAATTGGTGGTCGGAGTTGAGAGAAATCACCTCCGGAAGTCCCCCCCCCCCCCCCCCCCCCCCCGCGAAATGAAATTCTGGGTTTAAAACTAACTAAACTTCGAAATATTTACGGTTTTGCTACTGAACTTCTTTTGATCACCGTTTCTTCGTTTCAACTCCGATTTGAGTCCACTACGTGTCTACGTACTCATTTCCACGTGTTCTACGCAACGGTACAATTGAAATCCTCAAATTCCTTCCTGAATAAGAAGGTAACTTTTAAACCATTTAAAATATACTAGGGGTATAATGGTCCTTTACTATAATAAATTAATAATTAACTATTAATTTAGGATCGGGTTGTTACAGTATTTTTATGTTAAAACAAAAAAATGAATAAAAAATTATATCTTTAAAATAAAAATAAAAGAAACTCAAATAAAAAACCAACAAAAAGAAAAAGAAAAATAAAGTTTGGGGTGAGTAGAAATCGGGCTGGTGTGGGAGAGAGGGAGTTTAATTTTGAGGATAAATTACTCAAATAGTCCTCAAATTTGTATCAAATTTACATTTTAGTCTCTAAACTAAATTAATCGTTCAAATGGTCCACCAACTCTTTATTAATCGGCGCTTTGGTTCTACCATTATATTTTCTGTTAAATTTAGTCATGTGAGCAACACATGCTACATTTATGGGGGTAAATAAGACTTTTGACCCATGTATCACCCCTTTATCACCACTGTATCACATATGTATCACCACTTTATCACCTATTTGAGGAACATAGGATGGTTTTACCCTTACATTTGACGGCAACATTAACATAATATAACGGTAGGATCAATTGAGCGATTAATATAGAGTTGATGGACCATTTGAATGAATAATTTAATTGATGGATCAAAATGTAAATCGGGTATAAGTTTGAGGACCATTTGAGTAATTTAACCTTAAATTTAATTTTTTTATTCATATTTTAATCAATTTAATTATTTATAAATAAAAAAAAACCAATTTACCCCTGCATTTAACAAAAAATTAACAAAATTGATGGCATGACCATTTGTCCTAACAAAATTAAAGTTGGAGGACCACGAGAACAATTTTGAAAATTGAGGGACTCAAATGCAAATCGAGTCTAAGTTCAGGGACTAATAAAACGATTAACCCAAAAAATAAAATTTGTTTGGTAACCAATTTTAGTTTTCAAAAAAACTAAAAATATTTAAAAGTTGTTTGGTAATTGATTTTAGTTTTCAATTTTATGTGGAACTTGGAAATGTAATTTTTCAGGTTTGTGAATTTGAGAATGAATGTGAATGTTACAAAGAGTTCATAGTATTTTTTGGAGTTAGGATGTTGTTTTTGTAAATTTTGGATATCCGAGACTTGGATTGGGTCTGTAGTCAAACGCAACAGTCAGACAGCTGGGTCCAAAAATCGAGTGGTCTCGAAAACCTCCATAGATGCGGCTGCTAGATGATCCAGAACTGTAATTGCCCCTCTTGGATGGCCCATGACTGGGACCAACCATATCAAACTATCGCCTACGAGAATCACCCCGTGCTTGGACCATTATCTAGCTGTACTCGACCAACGAGGCAGACATCACCAAATCTGCAAAGTTAGTCAGCCGCTGACTAATCGCAATGTGTAGGATAGAAGTTTTCAACCCTCTTGTAAACAGTTGGCACTTCTTCCTTTCATCCTCTACCAGTGGAATACAATATTTAGACAACTCATTGAACTTCTTTTCGTACTCTAACAAAGTCATCACCCCCTGTTCCAACTACAAGAATTCTTCCATCTTTATATTCTGGTATGCTTGTGGATAGTACTGGCTATCAAATGCTGCTCTAAACACTGGCCACGTGATAACTGATGGGTCCTGATATCTCCTCCTGATTGATTCCCACCAGTGTCTAGCATTTCTGACAAAAAAGAAAGCGACCAGGGTCCTGCGATCCTGTGGAATGGCCATCACTTCCATGATCTGCTCTATCCACTCCTCGGCTACTGCTGGGTCACCATCACCAAAGTATGCTGGAAGTTGGGATCTCCTGGGAATATGGGCATCGCTGGGGCGGCCCCTGATGGGCCTCCAACAAATAACTGCTCCACCGGTCCAGATACAGGTGCAGGAATGAGGAATTCCTCTAGTTCGGTCTGGGGATCCTGCCCCCAGAGTTGGGATTTACTGTCTCATCCTTCTCCAAGCACCACCACGCTTAGAGCCCATGATTCAGTCACAAGAACAGAAACTCATCAAAACTGAAATGCACTTAAAGTGCGGAGTCTACAAGAAGTTAAATCTAATGCTCTGATACCAAGTTGACAGGACCCGACCCAAATTCCACTTTGGAATCCGGGCTGAACCCTATGCTTGTCCGACACCTGGCGGGTGCCGAGTACAAATGACCTAATTGCCCTTCTATTCAAAGTTCGATAAAATATCAAGATTTACTCATACCGAAAATTCGGCAGAATCTCCCCTGTAATTTGTCGCGTCATCATGGTGACACACCCTTGCAGGACTAAGGAGACACTCGATCAACCTGATCCGCCCTCCTCGTAAGACTCAAGGGACACTAGGCCCACCTGAGCTGCAATCCTCGCTCCCACAGTTCGAATATCCCCAAGCCTCGTGGGGCAAAATTTAAGCATGCTGACTTAACTAAAGACAATACTTAATATACTTGGTTACCTAAGGTGATTAAAGAAAGTATAACTTCCTAGAAGGTTTGGAATAAACAAATCTAACTCCTTTAATCTTAAAACTCTGTTGCCTTCCTACCTGACTTTTGAAATCCTTATTTCCCCTATTCTTTAAGTATTCTCGACTCGGCAGCAAATAAATAAAATACTTAATCTTAGCAACACATGCTAGAAAGCCCTAGATCTATTGCATACTTAATCAAGATCACATAATGAATTTAAATTGCATAAAACCATTTATGAAAGCAAAGGTCCACTCACTCCTGGTATGAGCTAGTTGCACCTTTTGAAGGTCCTTCCTGCAGGTCGGTCCGAGCCCGTATGCCTGATTAAAATATCATGAATATTTAATTAATAAAACTGCTCGGTATAAGTATTTAATTTAAACCCTGACCCTTAGCTCCTAGAAGTGCGCACACTAACTTAAAAATTATTCCTATGCCCACATAAGCTTCTCTCAAGTATAAAATGGTCTACAGAAGATCTGGGACTCAAAAAGCGATAAAGTCCCCCAAAGTCAACCTGGGACCCCGTGGGTCCACAACCTCAAAATTCTAATCCGAAAGTTCCTAAAGGTTTCAATATACCTAGGACACATGTCCCGAGAGTTTGGTCTCGATCGGACGGTCGGATTGGTCAGATCGAACGGTTCCTGTAACCTTAGCCTTAGGGTTGGCATTTTCGGAGTAACCAGGACTCCGATTTACGATTCGTCAACTCCTATACGATCCTGGAATTATCTAGACCAACATATCTGAAAGTGACTATGATCCAACAGCTCAAACGTATCAAACCCAGAAATCGTATAATGGGTGAGATCCGTTCGGGGTTCAAACGTTATCCAAATTGAAATCCGCGAGTACCTACGCACTCGTGAGGACCAAGGGATCATTCTAGAATTGAATGTGGTCCCCACCATACTGCCCATGCGCCACCACACGCGCTGGCAGTGCGTGGGTGGCTTGATAAATTTCTAGAGGCCGGAAAAACTCCAAACCGTGGCCCAAACTTCTACTCTAAGTGTAAAAACCTATTTAGAACCACTTTTGTTCTTAGACCCACCCCAAAAACTGGTTGGAAGTGGCCGGAATTGTGATCCCAAAATCGGCCAAACCCTAACTCGAAAATAAACCTACCAAACCTAGAAATTTCTCAAATCCTACCCAACCATCAGCTAGCACACGAAAAATAGCTAGAAATCCATACCTTACTCGTCCAATTTGGTGGCCGGATGACAGAGATCAACGACCGTGAATTTCGAACGAAACCCAGTGGTTTTTCGGCAGGATCACGGCGGCAACATGCATCGGGGTGGCCTGGGGTTGACGACATGGCTTGGGCTGGTCCGTGGCGAAGGCTAAGGTGGAGGGAAGGGTTCGACTAGAGCAAAATTTCGAGGGGGGGATTTTCGCGAGCTGGAGGGGAGAGAGAGAGATGGGGGATATTTGCGAGTTGGAGGGGAGAGAGAGAGAGAGAGAGAGAGAGAGAGAGAGAGAGAGAGTCAGATTTTAAAATATGATTTTATGGCAAATTACGATTTTGCCCCTCGATTTAATTTAATCGTATTACCTTCAATACGACTCGGATCTGAGTCAACTACGTGTCTACGAACTCATTTCGTCGTGCTGTACGCAACGACACAATCGAAATTTCAAAATTCCTTCCTGGTCAAAAAGTCAACTTTGAACCTAATAAAATATCCTAGGGTCCTTTTAGTATTTTCCTCCAATAAATTAATAATTAAAAACTAATTAAAGATTGGGTTGTTAGACCAATTTTCTTGATCCAGAACCCCAGCTGACAAGCAAGGGAGACCAAAATTGGCCTCTTAGCCTGAAGAAAATTTCGAAGAAAGATGTTCATAGTAGGAATGTTCATCGGTTGCCAAGCCCACGAACGTTCCATAAGAGAATTATTAGGGAGATCTTGGAGACCCCTCGAGGCTGGTCTCCTCCGCCGTGTCAACAAAATCCTTGATACAAAAACTATGCTTACCAGAAAAATTCATGCCACTAACAATCAAATGCCCAACACCAGTTTTCGAACATTTCTGATTCCCGCTTGATGACGCATACTTGCATCCCCTTGAGCAGAAGAAGCGGTAGCCATCTCCATAGAGTTAAGATGGAGACCTCTTACCAGCGACTGGCTCCTTGGGAACCCAGAAAGGAAGCTAATGCAGCCACCCCATGGAGAACAAAGGAGAAAAAAAAACTTCATACCCAATTCATCAAGAAGAACCCAAAGAGACAATTAGGGAAGACTGAGAGAGAGAGAGAGAGAGAGAGAGAGAGAGAGAGAGAGAGAGACGGTGTAGAGAATGAGTAAAGAAAACTGGAGAAACCCTAACCCTAGCTGTCAAGGCTCTCCTCGCATGAGACCCAAACCCGTAACATCATATTGACATGTTTATTGACTTGAAGCAGAAAATTCATGAATCATTTTCATTTTGAATGATAGTTGGCAACTATTCTCTATTGACTAATTTATGGATTGTGACCTCCAATAACATGTTTATTTATTTGGAACGAAAAGTCATGAATCGGTGAAAGAAAATTGAATTCTTGATTTCTTATTGTATCCGTGCCATTAGCAAAGAGTATATACCTATATACAAAATAGAACCGAGCAATAAACTCAAATTTGAACCTTATAGGAATTCTTTGTGGTACTAAGTCATTTATGTATCTTACCATGCAATATATTAAGTGTAAAATATTGTAGTAAATCATTATAAATAAATGATTATAATGTGTTTAATCTTCTTTTATTAATTACTACATATTTTCTACACTCGCAGTATTTGTTAGCTCATTATATAATTAACTTAAATTAGTTAAATCTATAATGCAATGCATTACCTTCCAATTTTTTGTGATAAAGTAATAAATAATTGACTAAATAAACATAATCCAAAGTTTCAAGAAAATTTTCAAGTTTTTCTTACAATTTCTGCAGTTTTTATTCAATTTTTATCAATATCGATAATATCCCGATATTTCCATCCAAATTTTCGTATTTTTAAGTTACCGATATTTATAAAACCATGAATATTTTAAGCCTTAATAAAGAGTATATACCTATACATAATAGTCAGGCAGTGCATATCGTAGTCAGCTACGATTCAATAACCATCGGGATTGGAAGCGTGTTGCATGCTTACCACCTTCCTAGAAAGAAGACACTACATACCAATTTACCTGAAAGCTTCCTCATTAAACCGCCACCAGTTCACTCACCCTTTTATCCTTACAAATGAAATATAAAAAAATATTTTATCCATTTTTTTATTTTTTGGTCAATAAAACCCACTAAACTAAACCAAGCCAAATTGGCAACTGCATCTCACAAACAACAAAGAAAAGACATATGTGGGGCCATACCATCTCCAATCAGACTTCAAATTTCGTCTTCTTCTAGTCAAATTTGCTTAACCCATGGGCGGGTCCATGTACACGAAAGCTGCACCGTAACAAAACTAATCAATCTGACCGCAGCCGAGAAGAACCCACCAACGGTGACGATTAAAGTTCTAACAAAAATGATAAGGTGGGGCACAGAAATCGGACGGTGGGATTGATGGGGTTGACAAAATAGCTTTTGTAACAGAGATTGCGATTGAGCTTTGAGCTTGAGCTGCATTTCTCTCTTTTTCCATTCTTCTTTCTTTCTGTAGAAGTATGTAACAGCCAACTGAGAGGAAGACAAAAGAGCATCTGTGTAGCTTTCAATCTGGTAAAACTTTTCTTGCTTTCAATTTCTACTGTTCTTTTATAAATAACTTATGCCTAAGATTGAGCTTTATCTGTATTGGGCTTCAAGTTCTCTTCAACTTTCTGATAGTGAGTTTATTTTTTTATTTTATTTATTTTATACATCTTATCTGTTCTTCCACTGAAATGGTTTCTGCTTTTGGAAATTATGAATGATTTTTGGTGGGCTTAAGCCATGTTGAAATGAGATTTTGGGATCTTCAATTGCTCTTTAATTGTGTCATGAAAGTTATTGCATCTGAACAAATAGCAAGTAATCAATATATTATATTTGGAAACTTAGGTTCATATGTAAATGGAAGGTAGGTAGGGAATGATTTTGTGAATTGTTAGTGTATGAGGACAGTCAATGGTTCCCTTGCAATTGTAATAACCTTTTGGGGTTGCTGTTCATGAGTTTTAAAAAATAGTTTGTCAGTATTTTTAGTAATAATTTGTAATTCGAAGAATAATTTTTTGTGGAATCTAATGGGTATTAGTTGAGAGTTTTGGTTGCATGTATGTGATGAAGATAATGAATAAATTTTTTTGTTATTATTTCTCTCAAACTCGACATGAGATCAGAAGGCAGCTAGATCTTAATTGGATTATTGATACCATTCGCTGATTATATGATTCATTTAGTTTGTATTTTCTTTGAACTATGTCGACTATTATCTTAATCCTTATTAATTTCAGCTGGATTGGTGTTGGGTTTTGATACATCAGGTGCGCATTTAATTTGGAAAATGGATCATAAAGAAAAGTTATGTGCAGATGCCTGGGAAAATCCTTCCTCTGGGAATGATTTAACAAATAAGATTTCCTCAGATTGTCCTCCTTTTGCCAATTTCAAACCACAGCTCCATCAACAGAAGTGGGAAGATCCCTCTATTTTAGATTATGGTGGCATCAGGATTGAACCATCCTTCCAGGAATTCAACCAGCCTTCTGAAACTCAAACATCCCTTCCTTGCAACTCCAATAATGATACAAAAATGGCAAATCGAGAAGATGGTCGGATGCGTGAGACACCCCAGGCCAATAAAAGTCAAGATTGGGATCCAAGAACAATGTTGAACAATCTTTCTTTCTTGGAACAAAAGATCCACCAGCTCCAGGATTTAGTGCATTTGATTGTCGGCCGGAGAGGTCAAGTTCTAGGACGACCAGATGAACTTGTGGCTCAGCAACAGCAGCTCATAACTGCTGATCTGACTTCAATTATTGCTCAGTTGATCTCTACTGCAGGTAGTCTTCTACCATCCGTGAAGCATACACTTTCCACCGCGACACCTTCTATTGGACAGTTTGGGCAGCTTGGTGGGTCATTTGTTCCTTCTGGAGTAGGAACTGATGCTTCTGTGAAGCTGCAAAATAGTAACAGAAGCAAATTAGCTGATCAATCCAACCAGACAGATCTCATCAGTAATTATGGGACTGAGCAAAACTACAGCGTTGAAGAACACGAATCAAAAGACGAAGAAGATGCTGATGAAGGTGAGAACCTTCCACCTGGCAGCTATGAAATTTTACAGTTAGAGAAAGAAGAAATCCTTGCACCTCACACTCACTTCTGTGCAATATGCGGAAAGGGATTCAAGAGGGATGCAAATTTAAGGATGCACATGAGAGGTCATGGAGATGAGTACAAAACCCCAGCAGCACTTGCGAAGCCCAACAAAGAATCTAGCTCTGAACCCACACTTATCAAAAGGTATTCCTGCCCTTATGCTGGCTGCAAGCGGAACAAGGATCACAAAAAGTTTCAGCCATTGAAGACTATCTTATGTGTCAAAAATCACTACAAGAGAACCCACTGTGACAAAAGTTACACTTGCAGCAGATGCAACACCAAGAAGTTCTCTGTTATTGCAGATCTTAAAACTCATGAGAAGCATTGTGGTAAGGACAAATGGCTTTGTTCTTGTGGCACTACCTTCTCAAGGAAAGACAAGCTTTTTGGGCATATTGCCCTTTTTCAAGGCCATACTCCTGCCATACCCGTTGATGAAACGAAAGGAACTCTAGGGCCAGCCGACCATGGGGAAGGCAGTGAAGCATCAAACAGAGTTGGAAATATTAACTTCAGTTTTGGCTCCACTGCTCCTGGTGTGGGTGATGTAGTTCAAAATCTCATGGATGTGAAAGAAAGTATCAATGATCCTACTAGTTATTTCTCCCCATTGAATTTTGAAACATGTAATTTTGATGGGTTTCATGAGTTCCCTCGACCCCCATTTGAGGATTCAGAGAGTTCATTCACTTTTCTCATGCCAGGGTCCTGTAATTACACTCACAAAAGTGGAGGCGAGCCAAATTCGAATGATCTGGAGTGATATTAATGACGGCTCGCCACCAGGGTATGGTTTTCTGTAACAGTTGTAAGGTTAGGTGATCCCATGTATTATGTGATTTCTTGAGCTTAAATAAATCATTTTCTTCACTACTTAGAAACTTATTGGAAGCTCTACGCTCTACACATGCTTAAATCTGAAAAACCAGGGCCAGTACTAAGGTCTACCAATTCTGCATCATGTATATGCCATTAGCTTTCCTATTCATCAGTCATCTTGCTGCTTCTGTATTTCATATTCGGCATTTGTGAAAGAATAATGGTGCGTTTGGATGCAGGAATTCTAATTTTCATAGAATTTGTAAATGACGGAATTTGTAATTACAACATTTAAAATTACGTCAATTTCAAATTTCAGTGTTTGGATATCTTGTATATAGAATTTAGGAAATGACGGAAATTACAATTTCCTCATTTTGGATAATTATAGAAGGAATTTTAAAACTGAAACTCACAAAGAGTACGGAGGTTTAAGAAGAAAAAAGCATGCAATTGTTAGAAATAAGGAACTCAGATACAATAGGGGAAAAAAGCAGGCAATTGTTAGAAATAAGGAACTCAGATACAATCAAGTTGTTCCTCCAGTAAAATAAATAAAAATTGGGGTTGGAGACATAGGACCAACATGGAAGTCGAAAGTGTTTGTGGAAGAGTTCCAGAAACACAAAGCAGCAACTAGCAGGTTCTCATCCCTATTAATTGAGTGTTTGGACAAAATTAAAGAATCGAATATACCAGCTTTCTTCCAGTGACTTTCATACCTTGGAGAGAGTTGGTCAATCCAGCTTGACCACTTCACGGAGCTATTCCTCACTTCACTGGAAGGGTATGATCTGCTCAGATTCTTAATTAGAGTGATTAGTTCCTCAAGGACTTTCCCAAACTAGACAGGATCCAGAATAAGGGCATTTCCGAGCAAATGAAGGATATTTTCATCCAAATTCTTCTTAGAATATGGGTGAAGCTTGCTTCTAATCTCAATAGCATGTTTGTCGACACCTTCACCTAAGATGTGAGAGGAGGAGGGAATGAAGAAGAGCTTCCAGCACGAGTTCTTGGAGAGGCATAAAAATAATATTCAGGCAAAATTGAGGAGATATTCGAAACTTTTCAAGAAATTTAAAGAAATTTCGGGTTACTTTATAATCTGAAGAAGGAGATCGTGGGAGGAGAAGAGTTACCCAGAATTAACTAGCCGTTAAATGGAAGCAGGAAAAGCAAGGAACTATGAGTCTCCTGCTGGGTTGCTTCAGCCTCTCCCAATTCCTAATAGGGTGTGGTATGACATTTCTATGGATTTTATAGTTGGTTTGCCTCCTTGTAAGGGTAAGAAAATTATTTTTGTTGTGGTCGACCGCTTATCCAAGTATGCCCATTTCATTGCTTTGCACCATCCTTATACTTCTGCTGTAGTAGCTCAAGCTTTTGTTGATAATATGTTTAAGCTGCATGGAATGCCTACTTCTATCATCAGTGACTGTGATCCTATGTTTATCAGTGGGTTGTGAAAGGAATTCTTTCTTTTACAAGGTTCTAAATTGTGCATGAGTTCTGGCTATCATCCTCAAACTGATGGCCAAACTGAGGTGCTTAACAGATGTTTGGAAACTTATCTGCGGTGTTTTTTGGGTTTACAACCAAAGCAGTGGGTTCAATGGCTTCCGTGGACTGAGTGGATTTATAATACTTCCTTCCAAGTCTCGGCAAAAATGACACCATTTGAGGTTGTATATGGTCAGCCTCCTCCAACAATGCTGGTCTATGAAGCAAGCAGGCACCACTCGATTGGATTTTGTTGACCGTAGTTTGGTTGCTCGGGATTGAGTACTCTCCCTGTTAGGGGCTAATTTGCTGGCTGCTCAAACTCGTATAAAGGTTTAATCAGATAAGCATCGAACTAAGTGGGAGTTTCAAGTCGGTGATTTGGTTTATCTGCGTTTGGTACCTCATCAGCACCTTTCCTTGGCTTCACATCCTTTCCATAAGTTGCAACTGAAATTTTATGGCCCATTTGAAGTTCTTTCTCGGGTGGGCACTATTGCTTATCGTTTGAAGTTGCCTACCTCTTCTAAATTGCATCCTGTCTTTCATGTTTCATGTTTAAAGAAGCATTTGGGATCAGATGTTACTATTTCCCCAAATATGCCCATGATCACAGATACTGGAATTTTGCAAGATCATCCCATGGCTATTTTGGATCGTTGTATGGTTAAGCGCGGTAATGCTGCAGCCACTGAAGTTTTGATCCTTGAGGACAAGGATTCTGTTTTAAAGGGGAGGGTAATTGATAGGATTCTCAGGGTTAATATGGTCTTTTTGTATGTTAGCTGAGCTGGCAAGGTTTTGTTTGGCAATTGGTTAGTTAGCTGGCAATTTGTTTTGTTAGTTAACGGTTGTTATTTGCTTAACTCGGAAGCGATTATATTAGTGGGATTATACTCATTCTAGGGCATGTAATTGTAAATCCAGTTTCAATAAAAAATAATAGTTCTGATTCTTTGGCATTGGGTTAAGGTTGCAGGGTTTCTATCACATTCTGATTCTAAAGATGTTTGAGATGCATATATATTGAGAATATGAGATCAAGACCACCAATGGGTTGAATCAGTTTGCGTAAAGGATGCAACTTTGTATACATTTCTTGAATTAGTTGCAATATATTAGATCTTGGCAAAACAAGAGAAAAAAAATGTTGTCATATGAATGTTGCCAAAAAAAATTTGTGTCATCATAAATGGGGTGTCAGTTCGATTGGTCCAGATCTTTGGTGTGCTCTCCTCAAGTGGATTTATGTAATCACTGTATCTCACAAATTTTTTTGTCATATGAATTTCAATTTCAACTTAAATTATCAAAGGAAAAAAAAAAGTACGATCGTAACTTCAAAAAATACAATGTATAACTTTGTCAGACTAGTTATCTGGAACAAGACCAAGCGCCTTATAATATTATGGATAAATAGTCAGTACTCTTTGGAACAGATTAGTACTATTCGACAGAAATTAATCAGCACAGTCCGACGTACCAAAAGAGCCCTCGAAGATGTTAGAATTGCTTTATTAGAACCTTTTTTTGTTCACATCTGTCTTGGCAATTATATATCTTGCCTATACCAGTATGCCTTTGATTAAATATTGAGTTCACGTTTCATCCGCATTCAGGAATATAATAACAAAGAAGTATATTTTGATGTTGACATACATAAGCTTATGTTTCCAAGTTTCACATTCTAAAATATAATAAGAACTTTAATACATTCGCAATGTTAGCCCTCCACCCTACAACAAATCAAAATACAAAATATGTATGCCGCCCAACTCATACTCAAGCTAATGTTTCAGAATGATGGATACAAAACAGAACTGCACTTACTTTAAACATATATATAACATCCAGAACTCAAATGTAGTAAAAGCACACGAGGAAATTCATCAAGGTACTGTCACCAAGGCTCACTCTGAAGAAGTACGCTGTAGTAAAATTGATGGATTTAAATGACAGTTCCATCTTTAATGGTTGCATTCTTCAGTACATTCATGCCACCACGAGAGTCCTGATCGCATGAGTGGGAAGACTCATCCACTTCTACTCTCTGATGGTGCATTCATGCCATCGGCAATTACCAAGCCTCTGGATGCTCTGTACAACCAGGTTGCCAAGCAATTGGATGCCTCTGTTGTATTTGACGTGGGATTTTTTGGTTTTTAACCGTTGGTGCAAGCAACATCGCGGATTCCGGAATCACCATCCACGCAAGGTTTGCCTGCTTACTTGTCTTCTTTTTCCATCGGTTCAATTCAGAAGATTACTCGGTTTTTGTCTTTGAAGAATCTTGGAAGCAATTAGGTTTTGGGGTTGATACATCTGGCAGATCACCACATGCTCTCCACTTGTTTGCTGAAATGTCACACTCATGTTGGGTATGCAACGGCGGTACTGCACTTCTTGATTTTGATCTTGGCTACCATATGGGCATCCAAGACAAAGGTGGTGGTGAGTTTCTCACGAGTTACTTCATTGGAGGGTTGAAGAAAGAGCTTCGCCAGGACTTGTACTTGCTTCGTTTCGTTTCTGTTCAAGAAGCCTCTGTGCCAACTCTAAAACTGCTCAAGGCTATGGTGATACAGGGCTTTATCAAGAATTGTTCAGTTGTCATTTCCTTGATTCTGGTAGTTCACGAAATTTCATTGGTTTGGCACAATTCAAGTGGTTAGGTAGGCCTATTGATCATACTCATCAGTTCGATTTCATGATTGCCAATGATGGAATGGTGCTTAGTCATGGTTGTTCTCACGTTCATTTTAGGGTCCAGGATTATGATTGTGTCCACACGGTTTTTCCAATTCCATTGGGTAATTGCATTCTTGATTTTGACCTTGGCTACCTTCTGGGCATACGTGACCAAGGTGGTGGATTTGAAGTTGATAATGGGCATACTGGAAAAGAAGAAAATTTCTGCAAGGCTTATGGCCAAGAGCTTGAGTCATTGAGAGCTTTACTTCTTTCTCCCAGGGCTCATTCCAAGGGACTTGGAGCCATGTGTTAGTGAGCTTTCCAATAATTGGGGAGTTTTATGTGGGCTACCAATCCAGCAGCAGTGAGACCATGAGTATTGTTTGGTTCAGCATCTCTGTAATTGCATGCTCGAGTAATTTTGGCATATTGAGGGACCAAATCCACCAATCTTATATGGATTTTTATGCGATTTCCTTATTTCTCTGGTCTCACAGTTCCTTCCATATTAGTCTTTCTTAAACTTTTCGTTGATACAGAGTAATTACGACCATTAGATCAATTGTGTGGCTTCATCAATATGAACATGATTATCATCATCATAATCATATAACTGAGTCTGAGTTGAAGGATAATAGAGATGGTTATTAGAGGGTGAGAGCTGTAGCGGGAGAAATAGAACATAAGCTTTAATATTTGCTTTCACTACAACTAAGAGGCTGTTTGAGACAATTTCAATTTAATGTTCGAGCCACCAACTGACAGTGAAATTGGCAATTCAGTTTCAGAGCCCTATTATTCCTTTAAACTCTTAGTCATCTTGGTCCTTTAAACTTTCCTTTTCACATATGACTACTGCGTTTCTTATTCGAAATATGTGAAGTCTTATCATATATGGAAACATGTAAAGTCTTAACATATTTCAAATAAAAAACACTAGAAATAATGGAATAAGAGTTTAAAGGATTAACAAGGCTTTGGATCTGAATCAGATTTAGGGTTATGCTCTGCATTAGAGTGTCAACCTTCCCACTCGCCTGCACCTCCAGATTCCCAATTTCACTGTCAATTGGTGACTTGAACATTAAATTGAAATTGTCTCAAACAGCCCCTTAGTTGTAGTGAAAGCAAACATTAAAGCTTCTATTCTATCTCTCCCTCTACAGCTCTCACCCTCTAATAACCATCTCTATTCTCCTCCAACTCAGACTCAGTTATATAATTCTGATGATGATAATCATGTTCATGTTCATGAAACCACACAATCGATCTAATGGTCGTAATTACTCCGTATCAACGAAAAATTTAAGAAAAACTAATATGAAAGGAGCTGTGAGACCAGAAAAATAAGGAAATCGCATAAAAATGGAACAGAAGATACCATGTAGAGAGATTCTGATTTTTCGAAATCATATAGAACTACAAGATCGTTGTTCTCCTCAAGAACAAGATCCGGCGGCCGACGAGTTAGATCGTTGCTCTCCTCAACAGAAAGCTCCGTACGCTCCATGGATATAGAGAAGATGGAGGTGATGGCGGCGCTTGGCTTAGTTAGGGTTCTGTAAAGAGGAGACGAACAGAAATGAAGAAGAAAATGTCGGCTCTTTAATATATATATATATATATATATATAGTTTTGATGCATCTCCTTCTGTGGTACATCGGCTGTACCGGTACAGCTAATCACGTGGGCATTTTTTAAAAACAAGTGAAACTGGTTGTTTGAGTTAACCGGTTAAAATAAGGGGAAAAAAAAATCACCCCTTCAAAACCTAGGACGCCTCGCATGCACTGGGGCTGCTTCATCTCTTCTCTGCGATCTCTCTCTTCGGAAATCCAAGCTTCATCTATGTCCCCAGATTGGAATCTGGGCGTCTCATCTCTGCCCAGGCCGAGATGCAACAGCCAGCGGAGAGGAGATAGAGAGACAGCGGTGCTTCGAAGGCAAAAAGGTGTCAGTTCAGAAGACTAGGCCGAAGCTGACCTCGCCTACGTCCTCCGCCACTTCACTCGCGCTTTCAAGTACCGTGGCCTCGGAAACGAGGTCTCATATTCAATTCCACTCTTGTTTCCTTTCTTTTGTGGAAAAAAATTCATCATATTATGCTAAATTGTTTTTAGCAGTTTTTGGAGGTTAGAGATTTGGAGAACTTAATTGGGTTGTACACCGAATGGCACTCACGTTTGCTCCCATATTATTCTTTTGATCAGTTTGTTCATGAGATGAGGTCGAACAGGTTGCCGCCACTAGACAAGTAAAAGTACTGATCTCTCTGTCTTTTTTTTATTTTTTTTATGTTTAAATCCTTTGGATTTTGGACTCTGCTTTAATCTTTTATTCTTTGTGTGCAAAATTTTGATACATGTCTCTTAGAAAATTGAGAGAAAGAGTTGCGAGTGGAGGAGACCCGACAAAGTTGCATGAACCAGCAGTCGAACAAGGCTCTCCAAATGATCAACAGGGTATTATGCTCTGTCATTATATCATTTTTGTATAATAGCTCGAATTCAATAGTGTCTCAGCTCTAGTGGCTTAGGCTACAGCTTGAACAATGTATTGAGTGCATATTGCCTGAGTTGTTTGGTATTAATTGGAAGGATTGAAGGATGCAATTACTCTACTATTGCAACAAAAGACCTGTCAAGAAAATTGAAGAAAGAAAAACAGTTCCTGTGTAAAACCTTTTTTTGGTGTAACAGACTGATGAGAAAAGTAGTTACATATTCATTAATAACTATGGTAATGGAATCCTTAGAGGTTGAGGTTGTAACTCAGTTAAGAAATTTTTCATATAGACTACTTTTACCATGATGTTAGTATGCTACGATAATGGATTGGCTACTGAGTGGAGCATGAATGATGCTGAGAGAGGAGCATGAATAATGCTGAGAGAGGAGCATGAATAATGCTGAGAGAAGAACATCATTGAACCGGAGATTAGTTGTTCTGAGTTCACATGAAAGATGTCAGGGAGAATGATATTGATAAGTGGAAATCTACTGCCAATAATTCTATGTTACTTCGTTTTTGAAAAAATAATAATAATTAAGTTGGAAGGTCTCCTTTTCTTTATGAAATAATTTAATTAGAAGTTTTTGGGTTCTTCTTCAGAATTTGTTATAATAGTTGTGTTTGATCAATGATATTTGAACTATTCGCTTTGGAAACAACCACTGCTTTCTATGTTCCCATTTAAATATTGAATCCTTTTAAATGTCTTGGGGTTTATATATAGGCTCTGTTTGTTATTAAGTATTTGCTTGTCTTGAGTGTTTACTACTGAAAGATAACCCTCAAAGGATTCTTTGAAGAATTATGAAGGGCATTTCATTAGAGAATATTGATAGAAAACCTTGTAAAGTTGACGTTTCACTGAACAATACAGATGCATTTGTTGTCCCTAGTATCTGTGTGCAATAGATTGATGGTGCTTCTTTGCTTTGCTAATTGTAGGAGGAACCCTCTGAGACTTTGCATGGTGATATGGTTGCTCCTACTATATCTGCAGCAGGTAGTTTTCAGAAAGAATTAACCAATCAAGTTCCAAATAATGAAGGTTGTGAATCTAGTGAAAATCATGACAGATGAACAGAGAGCACGAATGAAAGCTAGCAGATTTAAGGTCCTTGAGAAAGATGCAGCTAGGCGCCGCCAATTGCAGGTGGCTTGAGGTTTTGGTTTTCTTCTGTTGTGTTCTAAATTATGTTTCATTGTGTTGAGCTGTGGATGGCAATTGAACTCATGGATATAGGCATCAAGGCAGAACGTTCTGTCTTGATATTCTTTCTTTGTGCGACAAAGTTTTTTGTCATATTTACACAAGTCGATCTCTTTAATAGTTGATCCATTACCAATTGTTACATATCGGTTCTTAATTTGATGTAACAGTTTATTTGCAATTGCATACCCGAATATGTAATTGCATACATTTTATGTAATAATTGACCCCCCTAAAACCAAAAGAAGGGTAAGGTAGGTAGGTTTGACTGTGTTTTGAATATTTTGTTATGGAGTATAAAGTGTTCCGAATGTGTAATGTTAGAATTGGTTAAGATTTGGATTGTGATTTGAACGGATTGAGAATCCCGACCCAAGAGAGAAATGCATGGATGGGTTGTGCGCATTATTTGTGCAATGTTATAATGGAGGGTTGATGCACTTGCAAGTAGTGTCGTGCAATTGCATATCGGTATATGCAATTACTGAGCGATTGCAAGTAGTGTCGTGCAATTGCATATCAGTATATGCAATTACAGAGCAACTGTGTGCAAATCCTGGTCACCATATTTTTGTAATTAATCAATGTGATGTTGTGGTGTTTAAGGGGTTTAGGGTGTATTAGGCTTTGGATTAGTATTCAGATTCTCGTCGCTAGAGACAATTGCATGATAGTGTTGTGTACTTGATTTGTGCAAGTTATGGAAGTTGAAAAAAGGGGTGAAGCGAAAGGAAAGCGCAAAGCCGAGAGTAATGTACAATAAGCAAGAGTTGGCGGGGATGCATTTTTTAATTTCATGTAAGTTGCACATATATCTAAAAATTGGAAACGTGGTTGCTTAATATTATGATGGTTTTGTTGATTAAAAATAAATGATTGACAGGAAAAAAGAACGACTTGAAATGGGGAAAGTGGCCAATGCAAAGTTGGACAGTAAGGTGAGAGATGGCAATGGAATGGGTCAGTTTTTTAATTATTTTATTAAAAATGCTCTTTTTGAACTGTCGCTCATCCTACTCTGTATTGTGGAGCTGGATAGTCTCGACGGCTCAAATAGGTGGCAAAGGAAGGGTCGGACTCGCTTGAATCATCTCAGAGCTGCGTCGGCCTTTCGGACCTGCGATCGTTGTGTTGTCATGGGAAGATGCGTTAGAGTTGTTGGGTGGTGCTGCGTTCACGGCAGCAGCAGTGGCGGCACTAATATTCGGCATTCGTACAGAACGTCATCTACTCAACAAGATTGCCATGTTCTCCAATTTCTATTGCCCGTATGTTATTATCTCTCTATTGCTTGTTCATTTTGGCTTTTGTGATAAATTTAAGGTATTGGGATTGGAAATTCATAAAGTAATCAAATTGGAATTTGAGAATTGTGAGTTGGTCAATTTGATAATTATGAGAAATTTTTAGAGTGTTCATGTCGAGGAAAATATGAATCCATCATCTCAAATGGGACCTTTTTACTAATTTATAGATTACTTTTCATTTTCATGGATTTATTGCATTGTTTTCTAATTATGGGAAATAAATTGGTGCGTTTCATCTACTAAATCTTCAGCTTTCTGTTATTGAAATAGTTCACAAGTTGAGTAGAAATATTTAGAAAAAGAACTCTGTGAATGCCTGGGTGTGTGAATTTAAGTGATGTTGGAATGAGGGATTGTGTGATGTTTTGTGGATTCTTTTTTGAGGGTCTCTTGCTTGGTGAGAATTGTAGATACAAGGAAATGGAAAGTGGGTAAACAGAGCCAAACTCTCACCCAGAAGCAGCTCCTCATCACTTTCATGTGGTACAACAAAATTTCAGGCCAAAGCTTCATCATCAACGTTGGGGACAAAGACAATACCTCTTCACCATTCAAATTCAACTTCAATTCACATGCATCTGGCTGGGAGATTTTAGTTCCCACGCATCTGGCTTCTCTTGGTTGTTGATTCTTTGTTTTTTCTCTCTTACTTTTTTAATTTATTTAGAGCAACAAGTTTGGGTTTTGTGAATTTTTCTTCCTTCAATTTTTCCCTTGTCCTTTTTTTAAAATAAAAATTAATATAAGGTTCTCTAATCTATTAAATTAGATTTTTTTTAATTGTAGCATAAGATTTCATTTTATTGTATAAAATTCATCTTGGTCATCAAAGAAAATAGAGCATTGAGATACCAGTTAGAGAAGAAGAAAAGAGAGGTTGTGGTGAGGTTCAACTCGGTTTTGCTACTGAATTAGTTTTGACGCTTTGCAGAAGTGAATTAACATAAATTGACCAATGCCCTTTGGTTATGTTGGTTGTTGATTGATTGCAAATAAAACAGATGGAGGAAAGGGTAATTGTACACCACTGTCTAGTTTTTGTATCATTAGACAATTGCGTACCAGGATATGGAATTGCATACCATTTATGCAATAGTTGACCCTATATATGCAATAGTTGACCTTTAACATGGATAGTGATGAATCCAATTTCTGCACCTCACAAAGGTAAGGACAAGGATTAAAATATCGGCTGTGCAGATAATATCAGACCTCCAATTTATGGATATTTCGGGGAATATATTGTTATTGTTTTAGGTATCAGGAAAAAATCAACAAAATTGACAAATATAGGCATTGAAATACGTAATTTTGGTGTAAAATTTTCATAAATGTTATGTACATTATCAATGAATGTATTGAACAAATAAAACTAATAATTTACTAATAATAAGATATACATATGAAGAAATATAAGTGGTATGTAATACGCGTTAATGAAAAGTTTGAAAATAAAATGTTGATTAGAATGAATAAACCATGCATAAATCAATAGTTTGTTTTAACATTGGATTACAATTTAGATAAGTGTCCATCTACATAATGAAGAGCTCCAATAAGGTTCAAACAATGAGGAACAATCATCTAGATTCATACAATAGTCATACCAAGTCACGTAACCCGAGCATTTTGTAAGCCTAGTTTGAACATGGTGCACATAGGTCTCTCTTGAGCTCCTTACTGTCTTCATATATATGAGATAGTTAGGATTAACCCAACTAGTAGGAAGGGGTGGCCCTAGAATAGTGCAAGTGGCGCCAATGCACAGGGCCCCTGATTTTTGAAGAACCCCTAATTTTATTTTATTTTATATAATTTATATTAATATTATAACAACTGTATATATACTCCAATGTGCAACAAATTGACACAAAAATTTATTTAGTGGAGTTGGTTTCTAGTGCATATTCCTTGGTATAGGGCTTACGTTCGAGTCTTAGTTATGTGAATATATTTGTAATTTTATTTATAAGAGCAAAATTTTAAATAGTTTTAAAAAAGAAGCATTTGAAAAATATATGGGGAAAGATCCAATTAAATTAACAATAGTATATATCACACCTATACGGTTTTTCTTTAAAAAATAATATAATAAATTCTTCGACTCAACAAAACAAAACAAAAATAAAAAATAAAAATCATGTCCTCTTCTTTCTCGTGAACTCTTATTTTTTCTCACCGAACATACCAACATTTAAATTTATCAAATGAATGCAACATACTCAACGAACGCAGCCCCTGCAAACACGTGAAAAAATAGTGCGTTTGTTTGAAAAAGAAAGTTAGTGGGGTCCATTTTCCTAGGGAACTAGCTCAACGAACGCACTCCTTACGTTCGAGTGAATAAATATCCCGTTTGTTTGAAAAAGTAAGTTAGTGGGGTTTATTCTCCTGGGGAACAGGTAACTTTACTCAACGAACGCAACCTCTACGTTTGGGTGAATAAATAACCCGTTGTTTGAAAAAGCAAATTAGTTGGGCCCATTTTTCAGGGGAACAAGCAACTTTACTCAACGAACATAACCTCTGCATTTGCGTGAACAAATAGCCCGTTTGTTTTAAAAAGTAAGTTAGTTGAGCCCATTTTTTCGGGGAATGGGTAACTTTACTCAATGAACGCAACTCCTGTGTTTACGTGAACAAATAGCCTGTTGTTTGAAAAAGTAAGTTAGTTTGGCCCATTTTTCCGGGGAACGGGCAACTTTACTCAACGAACGCAACCTTTGCATTTGTTTCAAAAAGCAAGTTAGTGGGGCCCATTTTTCAAAGGAACGGGCAACTTCATTCAACGAACATAACCTCTACGTTTGCGTGAATAAATAGCCCGTTTGTTTTAAAAAGTAAGTAAGTTGGGCCCATTTTTTCGGGAATGGGCAACTTTATTCAACAAACGCAATCCCTGCGTTTACGTGAACAAATAGCCCATTATTTGAAAAAGTAAGTTAGTTGAGCTCATTTTTCCGAGGAACGGACAACTTTACTCAACGAACGCAACCCATTGCGTTCGCTTGAACAAACAGCCCGTTTGTTTGAAAAAGTAACTTAGTTGGACCAAGTTTTCTGAGGAACAGACAACTTTACTCAACCAACACAACCCTTGCGTTTGTGTGAACAAATAGCCCTTTGATTGAAAAATTAAATTAGTTGGCCCATTTTTCCAAGGAACGGGCAACTTTACTCAACGAACGCAACCCATTGCGTTTGTGTGAACAAATAACCCGTTTGTTTGAAAATGTAAGTTATTTAGGCCCATTTTTCCGCGAAACGGGCAACTTTACTAAAATAACGCAACCCTTGCATTCGCATGAATAAATAGCCCGTTTGTTTGAAAAAGTAAGTTAGTTGGGTCTATTTTTCCGGGGAATGGGCAACTTTACTCAATGAATACAACCCCTACGTTTGCGTGAACAAATAGCCCGTTTGTTTGGAAAACTAAGTTAGTTTAGCCCATTTTTTCAGGAACGGGAAACCTTAATCAACGAACACAACCTCTACGTTCGCATGAAAAAATAGCCCATTGGTTTGAAAAAGTAAGATAGTTGGGTCCAATTTTCGGGCGAACGGCCAACTTTATTCAACTAAAGCATCCCTCGTGTTCGTGTGAAAAAATAGCGCGTTTGTTTGCTGAAGTATTTTAGTTTGTCCAATTTCCCGAGGAACGACGAAATGTACTCAACGAGCGCACCCCTTGCGTCCTCGAAGTCAAATACCTTGTTTGTTGAGTAAATCATGGAGTTCGTTGGGTAATTTGGTCAACGGACAACGTCATTTACCCAACGAATGAGTCGCTTAGCGTTCGTTAGGTAGGTTACTTGGCATAAATTACTGAATATAACTTTCGTGATTTACTACTAATTTAACCCAATGAACTATTGGGAATAAAATTGAACTTTGTTGATTATCTCCAATTATTACTATATTGTTAATTTAAAAAAATTATAATAATCAAACATATGATTGTTGATACAAATATAAATTTAAAAACTTTCAACAAAAATTAAGTAAATTTAGGTTTTAGCTACACAAAAACTTTCACTTTTGGAAAAAGACAAATTTTTTTAAAAAAAAGAACAGAAAAACCCCTCAACTTTTAAACCAAAGACATACAAATGTAAAGGGTTCCTTAGGAAATCCAAAAATAATAAGGGCATTTTTGTCCACTTTGTCTTCTTTTCAAAATATTTCTCTCTCCTTTGGTCTTTTCCAAAATGTCCCCAAAAAATTATTACTTAATGGTCGATTGATTTAAGCCACATTGAATTGAGGAAAAAGAAAATTGGACTTTTTCGATCATGATCAATGCCCAATTGATAATATATGACCATGAATTTTTAGGAAATGAAGTGGAAGTATGAGAAGTCTTCTTATATCCAATCTCGCACCATTCAATTGATAGTACAAAAAATAGGTCTACTTATGCCTTTAAAAAAAAAAATTATCAATTTTTCCTTTTTAGGGGTTTGCGCACAGTCACTCTCACATTGCATCAGC